ATAAGCATGTTGTTGTCCCACACGCACTGGTATCCCAGATCAGGAAATCAGTTCGGACTCAGTTCATCAATCACTGCCCTCGAAGCAGCGCTTGCCGCTTCAAAGATTGCTCGCCCGTCCTCAGACTCCAACTTGACTTTTTGCTCCTGTTTGTCATTCCTGACCATGGCTGTTAGCGTCTCCTACATAGTCGTGATGGGCTATTGCCAAGCTCACATGGTCAAGAGTTGCGCGCCAAACACAAACAGCCGCGATAGGGAGCTCAAGAACTCAATCGCGCTTCCGTCTCCCTCTTTATCGGATTTCAACCCCGCAAACACTCGCTGAGCTTCAGCGACGGCCTTGTCCAGCTCAATCCCTAGTTCCGGCAAGACGACGTCGGCTCCTTGGGCGCAGACTGCGAGTTGAGTCGCATGCTGCCGGAAAATGGCAAGTCTCGCGGCGAAAGCCCTGGCTGGCGATAACTTCACCGGCAAGCCCTTTCCTATCTGGTTGTCTGGGTCTTCGCTGTGTTCTGTCCCGGCGAGCGAGATTGTGGCAAGGGCGGCGGTTGCGGCATCAGACAAGGCCGTGCACTTGGCTTCGAGGGAGGTTTTGTCAAAAGTAGCGTCAGCCATTAGGAAAAGGGGATATGATATCTTGGCTTAATCCAAAAAGCAGGTGGGACTAAACGAAGCTGATGGTTTAAGTGTGAGTGGTTGATTACCGGCATGAATCCGGTGCTGTAATTAGAGACTGACTCGGCTTTTTATCCAAGTGCGGGGTTTGAAAAGGCCAGTCATATCCAACACAAGAAAGATGGTAGGTGGCGGAAACGGGGCATATCACCTACACGGAATGCCACGTTCCTGTCGCGAAACAAGCACGGTCCCAAAGCAGGACAGTGTTCTGTGAATAATTCCAAACTTTCCGCGACACCCACTGTATTCTGAGACCTAAGCTAATCCTGACGCTGACTGACTGGGCACCTGCTTGTCATCTCGTATCACCATTGCGAGCAATTGGCAGGCCTTGGTCTTGCTCATAGGGTGACACTCACTCATGGGCCGGCCATCTTTGGGCAAAAACATGTCCCATCCCGAAACCTCGATGTTGTCTGGATCGATAGCCTGAGGTGGACAACTTCCATCGAGCAAGATAGGATACTTGGTAGCTCTCACAAAGGCGATGTCATACCAGATTGCATGTCTTTGCTGGTTTCTCCGTTCGTCGCGCTGGTAGGCTTGGTAGCCCCCCAACCGGGAGGGTTGCCGGACGGCACCCACCAGCACAGTCCACAGACCTCCAGGTATCAAGTTGCGCACCCTTCCCACTCGCTCTGGCCCTTTTGTGGTGCTGTGAAGGTTGAACAGACCCTGCACAGACATGGGGCGAGGGTTTCTGGATATTGTCTCCTGGGACGGTAGGTGTTTGGCTCAGACAAGATTCATTTTCACCTCCTCAGCCAACTGGTCGTTTCGCATTTCAGGAGTGTGAGATGTCTCGAAATAGTAACGCAGGCTGGCCCTGAGCACATCAGGGGGAATGAACATGTCGGCTAAAAGATGACACCGGACAGACCGTGACTGGTTTCCTGGATTACGGGAAAACCGTGGCTGGTTTCCTTCGTTGTGGTCTACCTCATCGGGGTCCGTTAACTCATGCAAGATCAGCTGCAAAAAGGGAAAGCTTTTCAGATTCGGGAGTCGGCTGAAGGACAAGTCGCCGAGCCAAGGTTGGCGTCGTACGGCATGAGAGTAGGTACCGGCATGGAAAATGTCTGTCTGTACGTATTTGTCGACCTGTGCAAAATACGCATAAAGTTCGCCAACTGGCCCGTCAGATTCCCTATTGGGGTCTTCGAAGATATGTAAATGCTCCAGATCTTTCATGGAGTTGATGATAGACCCGAACTCGTCAAGCAGCTCCTCACAGCCACTCCAGTTGATACAGACAGCCAGCTCGACGGTTGCTTAAAAGGTCTCGTGGCGAAGAAGAGGAACGATAACAGCCAGCGGCAATGGTCCGAACGGAAGCCAGTCAACTTGATCCATTCCAGCAAAGGCGTGCCCAAGCAGTTGTCTCGCTGCGCCTTGCCTTTGTCTGAGACGATGCTTGGTTGAATCTTCGTTTAGAGTTGTTCGGAGGAGAAGTTGGGACATGAAAATTTCCATCATATCTTCAAGAAGGCCGGCATGGTCCGAGTGATCATCGTCCAATATTCCCCTCACTAGGACTCTCGTGGCTTGCTGCAGTAAAGAAGCTGGACTAGTTCCTGGCTCAGGCTTCTTCTCGACATGCTCGTTTGCGGTAGCACTCTTGTTCCAAGGGCCCCCTGGCCACAGATCTGAATAGGCAAAACCATGTTAGTACAGAACCGAATACGAAGACAAAGGTTCAAAAAGACCGCTCACCATCCAAAGCATCACCATCGGGCTGCTGGCCGTCCTGCACTTGACCCCAAGGTGAGCTGCCGTGAGCTGTGCGAGACTCCCGGTAATCGTAAACACCCAGGGGTACCATCAGATCCATAAACCCTGCTCTTTCAGGACGTACTGCAAAGAAGCAATGCGTAATCTTTGACAGATCCGTTATATCCAAAATTAGATGGCCTTGGGTCCTGCCGCCATCGCTTGGTTTGAATCCTTGGTTGATTCCCAGATCAGGAATCAAAAGGCGAATGGAGATTCTTGGAAATACAGAAACGATCTCATTCACAATAGCTGTATAGAGACAGTGGGCGATGAAGGGGAAGCGAATCGCTGGATCGGTTTCATGGGTTCCAGCCGCAATTGGGTCTCCAGGCGGGCGGTCTCGATAGTAAACGCTAGCAAGGACAAGCTCGCCGCTCAGTGCTTTCCTGTCGGCACTTTGAGAGAATGCCTCTTGGAGAGGCTCGTAGCTTGACCTGGGCCAAAATCCATGCGCCGAGGATGCTGGATAGATTTCGGCTATGGCAAGGGAGCGATACCGCCCCGCAACATGGGCAATGACTGTTGTTCGCATTTTGAGTTGATATTGCTGATCGTCGTTCTTGAGATCGGAGGGGCCGCCGACTATCGGATGATGTCATATAAGGTTGGTGGGCAGGCGGATGGCAATGGAAAACCTCAGGCTTTGGGTGTGTTGACGAAGTGGGGGTGACGGAGGAGATGAGGCCCATATAAGGTCGTCAACCACGTTGAGTGTGCTACAAGAGCAGTGTGACATGGAAAAAGAATTCCTGTACCCAGTGCCTTTGTATTTAGTAGAGTCTTCGTATCACCGATGGCTCCCGATTGCTGATAATTCTGCTCTTTGCCTAGCTGCTCGACAAACCCGTCTATACGTACCTTGCCTTATATTTCCTCGAGTCAGCACAAGTTTCTGGATCCTGACCCTGACGCCGAGATAATAGGGAAGGGACCTCAAACGCCTATTACGTAGGTCCTAATTAGTGAACTGCTGTGGATAGTCCCAGTAGGCTTAGAGGGTACCTACCTAATCATCCATCAAGCTACAATCGGAAAATAATGCGGGAGGGTTTGGGGGAATTGCCTGACCAGGCCATAAAGTCAAGGTTCATATGCGCGAAGCGGCCGGAGTGTACGCGAGAGAGATGTATGGAATTGGTCTAATCTGACTTCTAAATCTTCAAGTCCTCGTGGTAAGACATAATGCCACGGTACCATGTTGGCCTTTTCCCAACCAAAGATATAACACAAACCTTCCCAAACGCCGAAACTCCATGTTGGATAGCAGAGAATCATGAAATGCTCTTGGTGGTAATCCCCCGCAGTCTGTTATTTCTCCAACAAAAGAAGCTCTGTCCCTGGTTAACCCCATCTAGAGGAGGAATCCCGCAAGTCCGCCAACAAGACCCAGGCTCAGGCCAGCAGTGATAGCGGCACCGGCCGCACTCTGGGACGAGCTTGTGACAGTCCCAGTCGCGGTGCCCACAGGAGTCCCAGAGACCTCAGTGACGGTGGCACTTGGCTCCTGTTGCTTTCCCTCCATGGAGGCAGAAGTGGAAGCTAACGATTCCAACAAGGAGGACAGCGACGCCAGAGACGAAGTGACAGGATCGACCTTGCCCGTGACAGCACCGGAGGACGACGACGGAGTCGGAGCGACGGTGCCGATCACGGCGGTGCTGGTCTCGAGGATCCTGCCCGAGCTGGTGAAGATGACCTCGACGCCCTCGAGAGTCTTGCTTGCAGTGGTAGCAACGGGGCGGGCTGTATGAAACATGGTCAGCCAATTCTCCAGGGTTAGAGATTAGTTAGAGATTAGAAAAGACATACCTCTGCCGCAAATATCTTTGCCCTCAGAGATAACCCACTCGGCCTGTTCGATGTTTTCGCAGGACTCAACTGCACAATCATGGATGCCATAGTTGAAATCGGGTTTGGAGCACAGGCAGTAGATGTCGTCGGGCTGTTGGCAACCGAGGTGCATGTGGAGCGCTAGCATATTGCTGATGCACGACTGCTTGGTATGTTAGCAACATCACCGTTCACAGAAGCACGCAGCAGGTAATTGTCACTGACGGCACAGTTGGGAAGGCCAAACTTGGGTAGCTGCTGGGCAGAAGCGAGGCCGGCCAGGGCGGCAACGACCAAAGTGGAAGCAGTCGTAGTCTTCATCGTCTCTGCTGTAACTGGTGATGTTTGCTTGAGATCGGAGGCGCAATAGATTCTTGTTGGGTGAACGGTGACTGTTGTGGTTGGTTGGTTCAGGTTAACGGATCATGCAACAGAGAAGTTTTTAAAAAGATGGAGCAGAAGCCCGAGGGCTTTTTGCCCTGGGCTGAAATTTTGATAAGCCTCAAACAGCAAGAAGCTTTGGGAGGCACACAATCTGAGAAAGAAATGACGAGCCGCCGTACAATTTGCTTGAAAGTTTGATGATCGCACCAGAAAACGTCCCAGCATGTAAATTCAACAGAAGAGATGCCTGGCTATTCAAAATACACCGATAGATAACCAATTGAGAGCCCAGATTCGTCCTACTTGGGTGCACAAAATGTCCAACTGGGCCCCTCACGAAGCAAGCCACAAGCCACCAGCGAGGGCACCTCCGGCCACGGCCCACAAGCTTATGGCCTTCCTCCCCACCGCAACGCCTCTCATGCTTTGAACCAGCTTCTCCCCAAGTGGCTGGATACTCCTTTCGAAGGAATCGTAATCTTTGGCAGCCCAATCAGCCCCATCCTTGCCAGGCACTGCATCTTCGCCCGTAAACGCCACATACAGCACATCCATTCCGTCGTAGCCGCTGTCACCTGTCAAATTCTTTCCCCAACAGGCGGTGGCAAGCGCTATGCTTACCTCGCCTACCATGGGCTTGTCGCCATCATCTCCGTTTGTGTCGCCCCAGATGCCATACACCAGCTTGTTGCCTGGGCACACAACAGCCATGACGGACAATGGTCGCACGCCGTAGTCTGTTGGGTCAAACGTCCGCCAACCAGGTTTGCTACCGCTATTTCCAAAGACGACATACGGGTGTACATAAGTGTTAAGGTCGGATATGCCAACTTTGAAGGACTGGATGAGGTCTCGGAAAGCCGTCGCGTCTTGGTAGTCCGGACTTCTTCCTAACGAGCACCTTCCGTCGTCTTGACTACCACCTTGCACGCCGTCGCAGTCGACATCCATGTTGGAAAGGGTTCCATTGCCGCCGGAGAGGTAGATGATGGAGGGTCGATGGGGGTCATTGGTGCAGTATGAGGTGGCTTTGCAGATGTCAGCACGATGCTAAGGATGACAGTCTTCATCGGACATGAACGTACTGTTTGTGCCATCATCAATGCTGTAAAAGCCCCCGGCCAAGCTATGTTGGCACGACGCGACCCTGTCCTTCAGCCCTTGGTAAAAGTCGTTCAAGTTCTGGGGGACAGCATTGGCAAGGAAGGAGCTGTCGCCAGATGTTGGAGTCGCGGCGAGAAACAATAATAGTGTGCCGAATGTTCTCTTGCAGAATTGAAGAGTGGGATATCGCATCGGATTCGCCGTGGACATGATCGCGGGCTGGAAGTTGGGGTCCAGCAACTATCTTGTGGAAATTGCATAAAAATCCAAAAACGTTACCTGGCTATTCTCTACTGCGTCTTTGCGCAAATGAAATGGAATAGAAAACAGGGCGTCATCGTGCTTTTCTCTTGCGCGACCTCACATCTCATGACAGGTCGTGAGAGGCGGCGCAGCTCCCTGCATTCACGGTCCACTCAGCGGACAGGCCCGAGCCGGAAATCGCGGTCGGATTTAAGCTTCAGCTGGTGCTTCTTCGGACGGCAACCGCAACGGCCCAGTCGGAAAAGAGGTCGCCGAGGTGAGACAACCTCACAGACATCGTATTGCGCATTTTGACCTCCAAAAAGAAACACCACGAGTGCCCTTCACAATCAGCCAACCAGTCTCGGGGAGACACGCCTGACGGAGCGACCGCAGAATTGAAAAGTTGCGCTTCCGAAGGCGCCGGAATGATTTGTGTAAGATTTCGACGCGCTGATCGGCTTGAAACATTAAACTGACCATGTTATCACTCTCAGTGTCTTTGAGATGGCGTCGGATTGTCGTGATGTTCGGTGGCGCTGTTTTTCCGGCCGGAGGCCCCGCAAGATGTCCAGTCCAGTGTTTCCGTCACCTATCGCCTAGAGAATCGCGCTATCTGGTAACAGCAACCCTTCGGCTTCCGACTCTTTGTTCACTGATATCTCCGCACACCAAGATGAGCAGCCTATTGCAAATCATAGACCTGCACAACCCTGTCGAGTTCGACGAGCTCCTTCATCAACGAGATCTCTGTGGCTGGGACAAGATGGCATCGGATATCGAGGCTTGGCGAACAGCCATGGATGCCGGAACCAGAGCAATGTTCTGGATTGTCCCGCCGTCTCTTGGCCATCTCCCCCTTCCAGACCGGTGCGCAGGACATATTGCTTTGGTCAGCGAGATGAGCCCCCCTAACGAGGAGCTCGCCCGACGGGACAGGTCTATCCTTTATATCTCGTCACTCTTCATCCGACCCGAGCACCGCGGAGGGCTTGGCCGAAAAGCGGTTCAGGCGCTCGAATCTTGGGCAAAAGTGCCCCCCTACGGCTCACCTCATTGCGAAGCAATAACCCTGACTGCTTTGGACCGACGATACACCGAGGATGACTCGGAAGAATGGGGTGGCGTGTGGGCCAGATTTGGACAACAAGCACCAAAGAAAGGAAGCAGCACTGAAGATTGGTATGCCAGGATGGGCTATGTGAAGTGGAAGAGCCAGCCTATGTTCGACGAGCAGTTCCTCGATGGCACCAAGATCAAGTTGGTTGGTGCTTTTCTGCGAAAGACTTTGAGGGAATAAACAGAAGTTGGATATTTCCGACTGCAATCTTTTTTCAGTCATGACGGCCCGACGTGCGTTCAAATCAATTGGCTTATCCAGCTTATCCACCGCTATCCAGGCAGCGACTCCACTACCAGTGATACGTAGGGTGAATGGCGGACTCAGCATCAATACGTCTCTGTGGTCTCCCACCTGCAACAAACCAACAGAAAGGAAGACTTGGGCCACCTCACGACATGACAGACATCACCATGGATACCAGTGGCATTGAAGTCGATATGGTCCTCATCAACCCAGGAGACAAGACCGCCGAGCGGGGTGACCTCCAGACCTCTTTCCTCAACTGGCTACAAGACGACAACCCCAGAGCCAATTTGATCAACCATAGTGGGCATCGAAGACTTCTTATGGAGTCTCTAGGACATACAACGCGCCCGCTTCATGTCTTGGAAGTTGCAGACCTCCTTCGGTTCTTACAGGCGAAAACCGACAAGATGAGCGAGGGATCTGCCAAGGAGTACCTGCGGTCAGAATTTGGATCCGATCTCAAGATCTTGCCCAACAATACCGTTGTCATCAATCAGTCCTTGGACACGAAATTATCTTCAGAAATCTCCCATGAGATGCTGGCCATCATCTGTACCCGCTATCTATTGCATTCAGGCTGGGCAGACCATCACAACATCCGATCCCCAGCCCAGGATGGGTGCGCGGATGAGAATAGCGAAGAGGAAGAGGAAGCGTGCGACACGAGAGTGACGAGTGAAGAGTTTGCTCCTCTTCGCCTTCAGTTCCCATTCATTGCCTATGCAGCGCGGCACTGGATGGTTCACGTGGCCAAGACATGTCATTCTCATGACAGCTTGCCCCTGCTTTTTGGTATCTGTCCTAGACGAGTTTCTCTTGGACAATCCCAAGCCCTTCAGCGCCTGGATCGACATTGAATGGCGGCCATATGAAATGGGCGATTGGGTCACCATCGGCCACGGTGTCACCGCCCTTCATGTCGCGGCTCGCTATGGATGGAGACAGTACCTGGCTGCCCTGGTTGAGCGTTCCGCCACCAACACAGAGCTGGATATTGACGGGGTTGACTTCAGCTCAAAGCAAACCCCGCTGTTTTTTGCGCCAAGTATGGACACGCCGATTGTGTCAAACTAGTGGCTGATGCCGGTGCCAGCCTTGAAATCAAGAATTGTAGCAAAGTCAATGTCTTGCGCCAAGCGATTGTTCGCAACCACGTTGCCGTGGTCAAAGTCCTGCTAGATTTGGGCCGGGATCCTATGCGGGAAGAGGGCAGCCGAGCCGGTAGCCCGGCGCTGAGATTGGCCTGCGAAAATGGGCAACTTGAGATTGTTGAAGCTTGTTTGTCATGGCTAAAGGATCCTGAGGATGCCTACCGGACCCTTGACTGGGCATTGACAAGGCGCGGCAACGTCTGTGTGGTGCAACGGCTTCTCCAGCATCCAGGTATCGACGTCAACAAAATCATTCGAGGCAATACGCTGCTCATCAAGGCATGCTGGTTTCATGATGTGGACTGCATGCAAATGTTGCTTTGCGCTGGAGCAGATGTCAACATCCTTGGATGTGGGGGTGACTTTGAGGACAATGGCACAAATCCGAATACAGAAAGACATCCCCTGTCGCAATGGGTACAATGGGGGGATGCCGATGTCACGGCCTTGGAAGTCTACTGCTGCAGGCAGCCAGATCGCCGTCCAGAGAAGCTGGCTTCTAAAGCTCAACTGGAGCTCAAGCAGGGCCTTGACTTGCTCATTGGAGGTGGAGCCGACCTCCACCGCCGCAACAAGAGAGGTTTTGCCCCTATCGACATTGCAGCAAACCACCCGACCGCGCTACGACTTCTGATCGAGGCAGGCGCTGATTTCCATCACGAGAGTTCGGATGGAAGTACGTTGCTGCACGTACCCAGAACCGGGGAGGACGGCTGGGAGCTTACCAAATTCCTTGTTGGAAAAGGCTTGAGCGTTGACAAGCCAAGATCAGACGGGCGAACACCATTTCATCTTTACATGAAAGAATATCTGAAAAGATACAGCTGTGACCGTGCAGCTGGATATCGGGATGCTGTCCGGTTCGTGGAGGAGCTAGGCCCTGACTGTTCGGTAGTTGATGCTGAAGGAAATGGAATTCTGCACATTCTCTTCATATCTAACGCAACAATTTCCAGAAAGCTTTCCGACTGGAATGAAGATCTCAAAAGAATTTTTGAAAAGCTCATTGCTCACGGTGCGCCGGTCCTCGAAAGAATTACGCCGGAGAATCGTTGATCCATATGGTGTCGGCCGAGAACATCGAAGCGATCCGATTTCTGATTGAGAAGGGTGTCGATCTCGAGACTCAAGATTACGAGGGCAAAACACTGTACATGCGAGCTGTGACTCAGGTATACAATACCAAAACCCTGGATCGGCTTCAAGCGATGGGCGCCATGGTGAAGACGCGGGATTTCAAGGGCCGCACAGTCCTACACGGGGCGATCAAGGGCCACCGAACCGGCAAACTTGACATGATGGCGAAACGGCAACCGCTGGCCTACCTTGTCGAAGATCTTCAACTGGACCCCAACGTCACTGACAATGAGGGCAATAGCCTTCTCCATGAGCTTGCGAGTTGCGACACAGATCAGTACAATCTTTATGGGGCATTGCTTGAATATGGGGTGGACAATGATGCGCGCAACGAGGCCGGTCAGACCCCATTACATATCGTCTGTCAAAGGTGGGATGACGGCCACCTGAACTTTAGGGCGTGGGGTGGATTTGAGCAGCAATTACTCTCCAGATCTCTCAAACACTGCAAACACCAAGTCAATGCTGAGGACAACCATGGAGTCAGACCCATCCACTTGGCGGCCGACAAGTCGGAATTTTTGGTCCAGCAACTTTTGGCCCTGGGAGCGACGATCTTGGTAAGGACACATGACTGGATGACACCCTTACATATAGCCGCCAAAGAACACCAAAGTAATGTTGTTGCGATGCTGCTTTCTGCCGCTACAACCGGCAACTATGGGAATCCAAAAGAGCTTCTTGAAACCAAGGGCAAACCTAAAACGTATACCGTCGGCAGAAGATGGACGGGACGACGAACGGGAAAGGAGCTAGGGCATACTGCTCTTTATTATGGTGTGCAGTCTGGACGCCCAGAGACCGTTTCGTTTCTTTTGGGGGCTGGCGCCGAGGTGAAGTGGCAATCCGCCAAACTTTTGCAGGCCTGCGCCAACTTTGAAGAAGAAAACCGCAAGCTACCCCCGCACCGCAGGTCTGGCACCAGGTTGAACGAGATTTTGGACATGCTTGTCACTTCAGGACTTGACCTCTCAGCACGCGCCAGCAGGAACATGAACTCAATCACGCCACCGCTGCAGTTTGATCTAGCTGTTCACCGAGCGCTGGACGCCGGGCTCGATCACACCGTTTCGTGTCTCTTGCAACATCAGCAGCCATCGTCACAATCGTCAGTCTCTTTGGTGTTTGCGCGGAAGTGGTTTGAGAGGCGGAAGGAATCTGGAGCCTCCGTCTTTCGAGAGACGAGCAACTTGTTGAGCACGGCAGCGGGAGACGCTCAAGCCATCCACGCCCTGGTCAAAAAGCTTCTCCTGGCGCGCGAGTTCGAGGTGGTTGAGTACATGTGCACCGTTCCACAGCAGGGCGCAGATGACCCATTGGTTGCAATCGACGACAAGGGGAAAACAATTTTGCACCTCCTGGTAAACAACGGATATGCAGCCTTGCTCGAGCGCATCTCGAGAGCAAGGGGGCAGCATGACAATCCACTAGAAAGTCTGCAAGCTCTTGTGAGTCGACAGGAAAAGGAAGGCGCCATTTTCCCGCTGGTGCTCGCTGCTTGTCACCGGACGCTTCCCAATATGGCCGTCCTCCGTGTATTGGTCGAGGTGGTGAAAGTGTCAATCAACGATCCCCAGCGGTTTAGGGAACATGCACGTCCGTATTTCAGGCCTGAGTGGCGTTATCATTAGGGATATACGCCGCTTCATGGTGTGACAGGTCGAACACCATGGTGGCATTTGCACCAAGCTTTGCCATACTTGCTCTCGCAGAAACCCGACCTCGAGGTTTGTGCTCAGTATGGAGGAACGCCTCTTCACTTGGCACTTTCGCAAGCGGACCGTGATGGCAGTGCGGTTCGATTACTTCTAGAAGCATGTGCTGATCCTAACGTTGTGAAATGGGGAGGGCGAAGCTGTTTTGCCGTTGCTATGCAAGCTGGCAAGACCGAGCTTGGGCGCCTGCTGTTGGCACATGGAGCCAAGGTCACCTCATCGGACTTGAAGCATGCAGCAGAGGATGGCAAAACGGAGTTCTTCTCCGCTTGCGGATACAGTCTGAGTAGTGAGGAAGAAAAGGAGTTGGCAAGCTTTTTAGCAAAGGTCTCCAAAAAGTAGCTAGCACAGACACAGAATCGGACGCCTCCCTGGCTTTGGACTTTGGACTTTATTCAGAGAGTTCCCTCACTTGTTTCATTATAGCAGAGCCCTTCAACGCGCTGCCACAGCTTCAACAGGTCATTCATACTATGAGGGTATATCACTCGATGCGGAACCTGGGTACCTTCTCTCTGACAACCCGATCTTGTCATCACAATCCGTCTGCCAAGTGACGGAGAAATTGTATACTGCTATTTTCTTTGCGGAATTGGCAGGCGGACTTCCGATTCCGTTGGACACAGGTGATTTTGCGCACCATTTGGATGGGATGAGACCCTCGAATGCTATGACTACCTGAGGGAGACTAATGATGGCAAGCCAAGAACAAGACCATTACTCCAGGTCAGCTTCCTCTCACTAATACCTACATCACCTGCTTCAGCTAATGACTTTACAGATTACAATCCGTCTTGACAAGACGACACTGAGCTGGGCGGAATGGGCCTTGGGTCTGGTCAACACTGTCGTAACCACATTATCGTTCTGCGAAATGAGAACATGATAGGCGCGCGTCGCGGCGTCAAGCTCGGTGCAATTCGACCTGTTTCTTAACGGTCCGAAACGCATCACAAGGCCCCTGATATCACCGGTATTTGTGCGTAGCCAAGATTCGGCAACGCCGTTAGGCCCGTGGGATCCGTTGGGCGGCTTGGAGCATCCCCATCACCTGCTGCATGTCACGCAAGCGAGAGGTGGTGTCTTCCGGGGAATGTGGGTCTCTCTTCTTCTTTGTCAGAGTCTCGGAAGCAGCAGCAACTGCCGGGAGGTCGTTTGAGGAGTCTGGTTCCGATCCCCGTTGTCTCGGTTCGGCTCTTGGCTTGGTCGGTACCAAGTTGGGCAGCCATCTCGTCAACGTCTCCGCCCAGTGTGTCTCGCTTCCGATCGGGGGAGGCTTGGCGGGGAGATGACATTCCAGTTTCGTGGTTCACGGAGGCAAGTTTAACTTGAGTTTTTGAAAACTGGGCTGCAGCCCCTGAAAATATCAACGGGGAATAATGGATATCTTCCAGGAATCAACAGCCACCGCTAATAACAGTGGATCACGTACCAGGGATGCGCGCCTATCCAAGACCATGAGAGATGGCAGTGCCTAGGATGAAGGGCTGAGAGCCTGACGATGAGAGCTGGGTGTGATTAGCGAAGCATGGGTAGATTCCATGGTATCACGACGTGTGCTGGACATAAGAGAAAGTATAAGACGCCAACCTTCCTCGCACCATGATGCCTCCTGGACGTGCCAGGCAGCCAGGAAAACAGCCCCTTCGTCGCTTCCTCCGTCTCCAACCATCACCATGCATTTCAGCGTTGCTGGCATTGCCCTCTGGGCCCTTGCGGCCACACAGGGTGTCGAGGCTCACTACCGCTACAGCAAGCTCATCGTCAACGGCAGGGTGACCAACGACTGGGAGTACGTCCGCGAGAACAGCAACTTCATCATGCCCACCAAGCAGTTCCTCCAGCCCAGCGACGACTTCCGCTGCAACTCGGGATCCTTCGCCAACGCGGGCAGGACCAAAGTCCACAAGGTCAACCCAGGCGACAGCATCGGGTTCCGCCTGTGGAACGGCGGCAAGATTCTCCACCCCGGACCTACCACCATCCACATGTCCCGGGCTCCTGGTGACGTGCGCCAGTACAGAGGCGACGGCGATTGGTTCAAGGTTCAGGAGACTCTGATCTGCAGAGCCCCCGGCCGCTACCTCGCCGACACCGACTGGTGCTCCTGGGATCAGCCCGACCAGACCTTCACCCTTCCTCGCGATACCCCTCCTGGCCAGTATCTCGTCCGCGTTGAGCACATCGCCCTGCACGGCGCCCAGAGCGGAGACACCGAGTTCTATTGTAAGCAACTTCCCTCCCTTCTTTCTCCTACCATCTCCCATGTGCTAACACCGGTAAACAGTCACTTGCGCCCAAATCGAAGTCGGCGGCAACGGCAACGGCCGCCCTGGCCCCTTGGTCAAAATCCCCGGTCTGTACAACTCCAACGACCCGGCCCTCCGTTTCTGGATCTATGGCGTTCCATCTTACCCCTACACCCGCGTCGGGCAGCACGCCGTTTGGACTGGTGGCCAGTATGGCGGTGGCGGCGGCGGCGGCTCTCCCGCCCCTGCGCCCTCGCCCGCTCCCGGCAACGGCGGCGGCACCGTTCCTCTTTGGGGACAATGTGGTGGAGAGGGTTACACTGGTCCTACCCGCTGTGCCGAGGGCACCTGCAAGGTTAGCAACCAGTGGTACTCTCAGTGCGTGAACTAGGCTCGAGACGAAACCGGGAGGAGTTTGCTGGGACGAGGGCAGGACGAGGGCAGGACGACGGCAGGACGCAGTCATTCGTTAGAACAGTCAATAGTAAATTACTCCCGCATCAGTACTATCTGCTTACCAACGTACTATTGTTTGTAGATAACAACTGGACGCAGAAGACGCAAGCCTTGGGCCACTGTTCTATTTTTGTGACGTCATTAGCATTCAATTCAGGGGCTCAGGGGAGGGACAACAAAACCTCAGGTTCTTGCGTTTGAAGAAACCGGACAAGCACTCACAGCACAAAAGTCTGGACACGTAGTTTTCACATGGATCAATTTCTTGATTATCTAGAGCCCGTTCAGACCTCTCTCTCCATCACCTGGGCGAAGAAGAGATGGCAAGTGTACTCAGATCCGCCTGTGCTCGACACAAACTCCATGTCTGAAAGCCCATCGGTCCAGGACGCAATGCGACCAATGGGGCGGCACTCAGTCCCCCCAGCATCGATCTGCTTTTCCAGGCAGTTTTGTCCCTCGGTGTCGGGAAAACAGAAGATGCTGAACGCGCAGGCTGTCTTTCCGTCCTCCAGGATGGTGACAAAAGCCTCTACGGCTCTGGGACGACTTAGGATGCTGATCTGGGCGTTAACACACGCCACGCGTTGTGATCCCGACGGCTTGACACAGTTGGCGTCGCCGCAATAGTGCATAACATGACAACTGTCTGAGGCACACAAGCAGTCAATTTCCTCACTGATAGCCCTCCCTTGCAAGATGGACAAATGCGGCGTCTTGCTGAGTGACGTTGGCAGGAGGGGACGTGGGTGTCGCAGTCGGCTTTGTAACCCCGTGGCGGTCCTTGACTGCAAGAGCTTGATCGCAACGAGTGCTGGTCTGCAAGGATTTGCAGCTAGGATTATTGCTGGGACACAGGGGAGTGCCAGCATCTTGCCTTTTGGGACATAGCGTTTGCGTAGGTAAGCACCAGTTGCCCTTAAGGCAGACATTCGCCTCCGCACATATTTGGGTCGAAGTGTAGCCCGCACACCCCGCTCCGGTATATAGCAAGGAATTAGTGGTGCCTGAGGGAGCCTCGTTATTAGTTATGGGGGTTGGCTTGATGGATGTGGAAGATGGCTTGATCGTGGTTACAATAGTAGCTCCAGTTATCACCACGTTTGAAGTGATGGTGAATATGTGCTGGGTCTCGGTCGAAAAAGACAAACGTACTGGTTACCTCTACAGTAACAGTCTCCGAAATCACCGTGAAAATTATCGCCTCCACCGAGAGAGTAGACGTATTGGTTACCGAGGTGGCTTGAGTCTCTCCGACTGTTGTGGTTCCCGTGAGTGTATTGAAAGGTGTGGGAAGGATTCTCGGGATCATAGTGGTCGGTGGCAAGGTGGTCGATGAGTTCGCTGTGGCGGTCGAGCCGCAATAGAAACCGGTGCAGAGGGAACCGCATCCTGGAGATTCCGGGGCGCAGGTGACATTTGCTGAGCCCGTCTGAAAGGTGATGGGGTCGCTGAAGGCACCAGGTCCCGGCCTTTCGGCTTGTTCTTATTAGCGCCAACCTTGGATTCGTCAAGGCCGTCCACACGGTTCCCAGGAAAAAGTGGCCGATGCATATACATAAGGAGCTTTTTGACGTTGGCAGGCTTCTTTAGCTCTTCGTCCCAGCCGTTTTTGATACCAAGAAGCCCGCGCCAGTACGCCACAAGACAAGCAATCGTTGGCGCCGCTATGGAAAACATGTTAGCCGCTGCGCCTGTTCGTGCGATGTTGGATACTTACCGAACAGGTTTCCGCTCGACACGTAAACGCCGTCGTCCTCTTCCCCTGTAGTCATGACGTCGCGGCCTGGGGCCATCACTAGATCCTCTCTGTACGGCGCAAATGGTGCAATCCGTCCGAGAGCATCCCAGTCAGTCATGCATGCTGCAACAATATGATGGAAAGTGCAAAAACTTACGCCATCTTTGCTGGAATGTTCGGTAGACCAGCACCCCGGCCTCCATGGTGGTGAAGCCATTGAATTCGGTCAAGATTATTTTCCCTCGCAGACTTGGATCCTCTACATAGAGTCTCTTGACTTCGTTATATACCCGAACCAGCTTTCCAACGGAGGTTTCCCAAAAAGTGTTCCTCCTCATATCCCTCGGACCACCATAGGGGCTTAGAGCAATGTAACCTTGCGCCAGTTTTGCCAGTCCAAATCTCCAACCTATCGCCTTGGCTAACACTCCCGTACCGTGAAGGCGATTCCCTTCAGCCTTCACAGTCTTTAATCGTGAATCATCGCTCCAGACGAATGGATCGAGCTTTCGGATCTCGGGACTCTCCCAGCTATCGTCGGGGCCATTCTCTGTTACCAATTTCATCTCCACGTTACTGTCCATTATATTTTCTTCTGTTGAGATGACAACCTGGCCCTTGCCGAAAGAGTCATCAGCGCTGTAGTAAAGTTCTCCCCATTTTAAACCCCTTCCCCCCCCCCCCCCCCGATGACTCAGTCCACTTCTCCAGGGGGACTACTGCCATTTGTGAAAGCTCCCAAACGCTCGTACCACCAAATATCTCCACTCGACGTCGTTGCAATCGTCTATGACTGGGAGGGCTTTTGTTGACGTCGATGCCCATGTTACCGAAAATTTCACCCCCGCCACCCAAGATTCCAACGCTGTCCGAATCGTCCGAATCGTCGTCGTCGTCCGATTCATCGCTGTCATCATCGTCGTCTGTAGTGGAATCTTCACCCTGGCTGTATGCTTGCCGTCCTCTCCCATACACGCCCTTGATCTGCGCGATCTCGTTCGTCACTTCAGCTCGCAAGGCTTCCATGTGGCACTCTCTCATACGTTCCACAAAGATGACGAAGCTCCAATCACTGCCGTCATCGCCAACAAAACCTTTGGCTATGACTTGTAGTTTTCATAGCCCGATTTGGCCAGGTGATCGGGCCCATATTCCCCGTTGGCTTTGAGCCAGGTAGTGATCTTGGCCACTTCGTCATGGTTTCCGGGATGTTTTGGCCAAATCATGCAGTGATCATAGCCCGCTTGCGATGGGTCACGGTCTTGGGGGTTGTCAAGCTGGCGGGTATCTCCGCCGTCAGGGGAAGCAGTCGCGTTATGGCTGATTCGATGCAGGAGTTCGGCGGCAGGCTGCGTTGCCAAAGGACAAGCAGATTCGCCACTCATGCTTGTGGTGTCCTGATCAACATCAGTGACCACGCAGGCCGTGATACTGTTGCATTCCGTGGTTGCCGAAGACGTGATTGTGCTTGTTGAGCTGCTGATCACAGTTGTGGAGACGAAGGTCGAGGTGGCGCATATCTCGGCCTCCTTTGACTCGCAGTTCGTTGGATCCTCCTCAGGGGCCACAGGGTGACCATGTGGATCAATGCTGCTCAGTTGTCGTCTGATTAGTACCTGGTACTGAGGGAAGGCAGGATGGGCCCACTTCTAGGTGGTTAAATTGGGGACTTTTGCAGCAAGACTTAGCAGAGAAAGACAACCAACTTCACCCCTTTCATTTGACTACTTGATATTATACACCTTGTGACAAGGACCCACCTCACTGAACCGCAATATCTATAAATTTCTCTCTTCTTGGGGCTTCGGTAGGACAAAGAACTTACGTGATTGGTGGCCATGGACCGGGTAACGGTGGGAAATGGATTTCAATACCCGGGATGGGAGGCAACCGGATCGGTGGCGGACCGATTATAACAAAAGGGCCGGGGATGGGGAAATGCAGTCTCACCCACCCAAAGTCAATGTTGAAGTGAAGCAAAGGAATACAAATCTTGGAAAATTGTCAGTAAGATTGTAAGTGACTTTCAAGTGATGAAGACCCACGAAAAGAATTTTAAAGCCGTCACAATGACTCGTGTTGTCCTCGTTCTCGTCTTCAGGCTTCTTATCCAGTAGCTCAATGTATACTCCTGTAGTAAATTCAGTGAAAGTGAGAAGACCTGTCCCGGCACCAGTGTAGTGTACACAGCCAAAATTAAAGCTTGCTTCGGTGCGGACGGGCAACCACTTGGTTGTGGTTGGTGGACAGTCCCATGGAATGGTTATTGACTTCGCACCGGCCGGACAGTCAGTGGGAGCTGAAACCCAGACGCTTTCCTGTTTTAGATATACTCGATTCACTGGGCATGGGTCGACGACCGGCGGGTAAAAGGTTTGCGGTGTCGGTACCACAAGCGTGGTGGTTGCAAACTCGGGGGGTACTGGGAGCGTGGTAATCGGAATCAAGAATTGAGTGGTGAATTTGATGGCGCTGACGGTGGTTGTTGCATCAGACGGCTGTGGCGGAGTAAACATATGCACCGAGGAGTTGCTGGCCAAACCAGGGATGTCGGTGATGGTCATCGTGTAGGTTGGAGGAGCCGTGCCAACTGAGAAATCCCACCAACCAGTGAAGGTGACTGTATGGACAGTGGATGTGAAGATTGGGGGCACCGGCAGTGGAAAGCTGAGTTGACTGGTGAAGGTGATGAGGCTGACAGACGACGATGCACCACCAGATGGTTTTGGTATAGCGAGGGTGTATACCGACGCAGTATTGGAGGCTCCAGGTGTGTCTGTAACAGTCATCGTATATGTTGGGGCGGCCGTGAAGAGTCCCAAGAACCTGTAAACGGGACGGTGTGGACAGAGGGAACGGGGGAAAGAGTTGGCTTTCTCGCCACTGAATGTAATCTGCGGCCATGGCGGAAGGGTGAGAGTCCGGGTTGCCACCGCGCCATCGGGTTTGGTGAGGACCACGGGAGCTGGTGGAATTTCAATGCTGGGGATGATCCACAACGGAGCACCTTCACTCTCTTCACCCGTGTAATTGTAGTTGGCCACTGGAATGACGCTTGTGATGATAGAGGCCACAGCGACTGTCAAAGTCGTAGTTGTGGCGCTAAAGGTTCCGTTTTGCATTTGTCCAACCTCGACCTCGGTCGTGTACGGGTCGATGTAGATCGTGGTAGGGGTAGCAAGCGTGGTTGGTGGCATAACAAGGATATAAGGCGGTGACGGGCACTACGAGGAAGGAAGAAACTGGCAGACTCTCGTATTGGGTTCTCAGACGAGTAAACAGTTTGCCATGCCATCAAGCAAGGGCGCGGGTCGGGGACGGTCGTCAATAGACTGGCCCATGGAAGACCGGCCTTGATTATGAATGTATTGCTTTCCATACTCCCGCAGGGTGAGCTCCTTGGTACCACTGGTGCCCTCAATGATGGGATCCTTTGTTCCGCTGAGCACCACAATGATACCGACGTTGGTGAAAACCGTATTATCAAGAACCACGTCCACAGCACGGGGAGCAGCGAGGATTCCGATGGGCACGTTCTTGACAATCGAGTCAATGATGGACACTGAGCCGATACCCTGGTCGTTAAGGCCACCAATTCCGCTGATGTTAAAGTCAACGCTGCCGCCATCAATCTCGATCTTGTGCCAGTTGAAACCCCGATCCCACACCATGTCTACGGCGGTGCTGCAGTTCTTGAACTGTAGTGATGTAGCCGTGTACTGCTGAGAACCCACTCGCCACCCGATAGCACCGCCCTCAAAGACGAGATCTGAAACAAACCCTCCCGAGCCGTTCTCGGTGAAAATGCCAACATGGGTAGGAGGCTTTCCAAGATTGTCAGATGTCGGCACCTGGAGAAGAAGGTTTTACAATGTACAGGCCTGACTAACCTGTCAGTGAATACCAGTTGGTGCCAGGGGCTGTCCATTCTCGTCGGTAGCAGCGGGCATCGACTAGAGGTCGAAGACGAAATTGCGAATCTGTCGAAAGAATTGGTTCTGGGAAATGTACCAATTGATACCCGAGCCGGGGATATAGGGGTTGACATCCATGAGGGCAATTCCAGTAAAGGTCTCGCATCCCTTGATGATGGGCCGGTTATTGGGATCACTGACGAACTGTGTGAAGTAGTACTGGATGATGGGAGCGCAGATCTTGTAGGTACCGGGTGGGAAGTAAATCAGAGCTGGGCGAACGGTAGTGCTTCCGCAGTCCTCGCCACATCGGTTACCATCCATGATGGCAGCATTGATTGCTTCCTTGGTGTTATTGGTCCCAGTGTTGTCGGCCCCGTAGTCCAGGACGTTTCTGTAAACGACATAGTTGTTCTCGGCCAGTGGAGCCTATTGAATAATGAAGTTAGTATTTCATTTCACGGATTAGGATGGATAGCGCCAGAGACGCACCTTTCCATGGGAGCCAAGAGTGGAAAACCAAAAGGTATTGTTGTCGTCAGCAGTAACCAAAGTATTGCCGGTAGCAGCCTTCTTCTCGGCCAACTTCTTCATGTAGCCTTCAAAGCTACCAGAGTCGGATCAGACCGGACCGCTATATTTGCCTGCAAGTCAATCACTGTTGGCCAAACCAACTGTCTAGACATGTGGGTGGAATCCTGGATCAACTTGCTTTTGCTGGGCGCAACACCCCGAGCGTTGTCCGTGTGTAATCTGGCCAGTGGGGAGGGGTCTGCTGGAATTCGGCCGGTAAGTTCTGAAGGCTGAAGTCGTGTGTTACATCTTTCCAGCCATTCCTGGACCTCCCCGCGGAGACAGTCGGGATGGTGACAGTGGTGAGTAGTGCCGCCAAGCCAACGATGAGTCTCCTCATCGCGTTGATTGTGTCGTGTGTCTTACTAAAGAAGGCGACTTAGATGTGAGAATTGGTACTGAGAGTTGAGTCTCCCAGTTCAGGTGTGGATGCGAAAAGGAAATGGAAGTGTAGGAGGGAACAGGAGAGACAGATCTTTACAGTGGTATCTGGGTCCAGCCGGCGTCCGCAACCGCTCTTCAAAGTCTTGATGTGGGTCTGACTCCAGTTGCTCATGTCAGATATCGCATCGGAATTGAGTGAATTACCTGGATGGTTGGGGCACTGGAGGAGGTCAACAAAGGATCCATACCAGAGCAGCTCCTCCAGCATATTGGATGATCCACCTCATACGTGCGAGAGCATCGATTGGGTAGGGAAGAGGTACCCGAGTGCATGATCCGAACTTTTGGCAATGCTCTGGCCAATTCACTGGGACTGTGATGTAGAAAATGCCAGGCTGAGTCCATGGAACTGGAGCCTGAGTTGCTCCGTTGGGTGAATTGAGAGCTTGTAAATGAAATTTACTTGTGACTTTGTGGGGTCTGATATCCCAGCATGCTCATTCCATTTCCGACATGAGGTGCCTGGCGGGGCAAGGAGACGTGTCCGCTGAGGTTCATCCACCATCTAGATACCACTGCCAGACGAACAGACACCTGATTGAACACTCCATGCCTGACTCACTATCCATACAGCCTATTGCACATCCAGGCACTCGACGAATCCTTCTTGATCAGACTATTGTACCAGCCCTCAACTTGATCAAATCGGCCGCCTGTTCACGCTTGTCAGCTTGTAAATTCAACAAGAAAAAGTCAAGATCGATTCTCACCTTCTCTGCAACCGCATATACCGTCATGCTTGTGGTACCAGCAACAATTGTCGGCATCATCGACGCATCCACCACGCTCAGGCCCCTCACTCCATACACCATCAAGTCCTCCCCTACCACTCCCCCCCACTCCCTCGGCATTTTGGCTGCCGTCCCAACTGGGTGGTACACGCTGGGAATGGTATTTGCCCTCACCCATGCCCCAAGCGCTTCGTCTGACTCTAACCCAGGCCCCGGCACGACCTCGGTGGCATTGTACCTAGACAACTCCCCGGTGGTCATGAACCTCCTCAAAAACTTGATCTCCTCAACCGCCACATCCACATCTATCGGGTTCGAGGCGGCCCTGTAGTTCACGATCGGCTCGACTTCAATGTCGCTGCCTGCGGCCGGGTCGATCAACACGGTGCCGCGGCTGACGGGGTGGATGATAATGGGGACAAAAGACGGATCACCCGAAAAGGTTGCGCGGAGAAAAGAGAAGTCTTTGGCTCGCATCTCGCGAGCGTAGATCTGTTGCTGCTTACGATAGCCTCTGATGATGGTTCTGTCGGTATCTTTGGGTAGATATGTAGCCGGATCCTGAGACTCGTACTTGGATGCGATCCGCTTGAAGGAGCCTGGGGAAACAACTGGCAGCTCGACTGATAATCCTAGCGAGGTTTTTCCCAGCCCATCATCAACCACGGTGATATTTAAGTGCTCTGGGATTAGTGGTGACGTTAACCCTGAAGAGTGTAAGTTGTTAGCTGGTTCCGTCCATCCTCAGCGACCCTGGATATACATACAACTGAAAGATACTGCAGGTATGAAGGTGTGATCCTGAAAATTGTACCCGACACCAGGGAGGTCAACTTTGACCGGTATCCCGGCACGTTTCAAAAGGTCAGCAGGTCCGATGCCGCTCAACTGCAGGATCTGAGGCGTATGAATGGCGCCGGCAGCTAGGATGACTTCCTTTCTGGCACGGATGGTAGTCTTTTTCGTGCTTTCACCTCGGGGGTAGATTTGAACACCTGCGGCTCTGTGGTGATCAAAAACGATCTTGTTCGCACGCGTTGCCGTGAGAAGATCGTAGTTGGCGCGGTTGAGACCATCCCAGTGGCCCGTTCGGGAGTAGGACCTCTCTCCCGTGTATGGATTTGTTGAAGTTTGGTAGTACTGTAGGCCAAGCTGCCCACTGCCAGCGTCTGGTGAGACCTTCATCCCCGATAGTCTTTTGGCCGCTTCATAGAAGGCATCTGATAGGAGAGACGAGTTGAGTTGCTAGAACGGATATTGAGACAGGCTTATGAAAAGACACTCACGAGTCTTGGGGCTAATCACATTGCCAAAGGTGGCGAAAATGGTATGGTTGGTCGTAAGGTTGCGGCCCCAGTATTTGGTGTCGTATCTGAGGTCAAACGCAGCTGTCTCTGGCTTCGGAGCTGTCATCTGGATGCTCTTTTTGAAGTACTTGAGCATGTCAACCCAATTCCAGCGGACTCTTGGATTGCCACCGCCAAGCTCTCCCCAAACGTCGTAGTCTTTTGCGTTTCCTCGCTGGAAAACCATGCCGTTGACGGCCGAGCTCCCGCCAACGACACATCCAATAGACACAGGAAACGTCTTGTTGTTGAGACCAGCAACTGGCGCCGAAGTTATGTTGTAGAGCGTTCCAGGCCTCTGACCATCCGGTTCTGTCATCAATGTCAGAACACAACACGGATACAGCCCAACATAAGTCCCTGCACTCACCCAGGTAACCATACTCTATGACCAAGACGCTGTCTTTTGCATGAGTCAGTGTTGATAATTTCTCAAAAGGCAGGAGATATGAGATAACTCCCTTACGTTTTCCACTCTCGCTGAGACGGTCTCCAACCGTCAGGCCAGCGGTTCCGCCCCCAACGATGACATAGTCGTATGTCTCCTTGATGGCTTGGATGCTGGCCGGAAACAACCCTGCAAAGCAGGATACCTGTATGACGCCGCAAAGTCTCATGATGGCTTCACAGAGTATCTCACTTGCTGTGTCTATAGGAGCTCGAGACAACGTATGTACTGGGGGCCTGGTCTCTTCTTAAGCCGCACTCACGGAGTTCTGCTCTGATTCCAGCTTCACATAATGGAACCCAAGCACAACCTCATATCTCACCCGCATTATATTGGGAACAGGGCGGGAACGAAAAGAGCTCGTCTGTGTAACGTCGCCATACGCCTTGGCGTGCCCATTGGCCACATCGCACTACACGCGGCGCGCTAGAGAAGTCGGCTTCTCGGAACCGGGAGTTCATACCGACAGAGGTGCATTGCCGGCTTGGGAATGGATCTTTAGCAGCAAAGGAGGGGTTGATTGTGACGTTAAAGGCAAGGAACTTTTTTTGTGGCTCCAAGTGGTCCTTTTGAGGCTTGGCCAGGACATACGCAACGGTCGGAAATTTCGTGTAGGGTGGAAACCGTAGAATCGCCGTCTATTATACGCCAGGAAATTCCAGTCCATTTCCAACCAGTGGTTGGGTAGCGATACATGTAGTCTAGAAAGAGGCACCTCCGTTGCCCTGCCCAACCTCCACAAACTCTCCCACAGCTCCCCACGCAATCAAAAAATTATCACCACTCCTCTCCTTGACCTTCTACCCGTTCCCAATAGTCATCCTCCGCCTCGTCATCCGCCCACATGATGCCCTTTGCAGCGTCAAATGCATACCCCGTCTCGCTCCCCCCGTCGGCGTCATCATCCGTCTCATCGCAACTTTGACTAACTTGGTTTGTCTCTTCGGCATACGATCCATCGTACTCCTTTGGGTCATCCAACTCAAACTCATCTCCTTCTGGCGTGACCAACACCAAATCAGGCCCCTCAGACCCAGGGTGCTGGTCCGGGTCCTCCCAGTGCCACCAGTCACACCGGGGCAGGGCGCCATGGGTATACAAGTCTGCTTCGCGGAGCTGACGAAGGCTGTAGAGATCCATGCGTCCGTCTGAATCAATGTAGCTGTGTGTGGCCCAGGAGGTGAACTCCAGGCCGGTCCAGGTGGTGTACTGCACGCTGTAGTCATCCGTGTCGCTTTGGCCGTCGTAGTCGGAGTCTGAATCATGGCTGGGTGGTCCGTTCCCGGCCTGGATACTGTGGTTGTAGTTTACATTGGGTGTTAGCTGGAGCCAGGCGAATTGTGAAGAGATGGATGAATCCAGCGCGAGATGATGTCCCAACTTTGGGAGGGAATGTGTGAACGACGGGTGGAAGGGGTTCAAGAAGGACGGCGGTTTTGTTCCTAGACCGGGATCTTGCGGGCTCCTGCGCGGACCCCGACGGGGCAAAGCTTGATTTTGCCAGCTCATGCAAAAGCTCTCAGTATTAAAGCTTGCATGAGGTGGGGGAAAGACTTGTCCAAGAAGAACCACATCGCTTCTCTCGTATGTTCCATCCTTCTCGAAAGGATCGGGTAGATAATAACGGTCCTCTTCCACATCTGTCCAGACCAGGAGGAGTGCGTGGGTTCCGTTTCGCCGCCGAGGGAGGCGCATAATGGTAGTTTGGTTGCCAACCACAGTTGCAACAAGGTAGATTCCTTGCAGATTTGTAAGGTTCCAGAGATTGAGGAGTCCTTCATCGTCGATATAGATGTTCTGGACGCCGTGACGTACGGGGGTAGTCGTCTTCCTCCAGTTGGTATCGCAGTCTCGGACTGTCTCTGTCGCTGGCCCGTTCGCTTCTATGGGCCCAGAGAACGGACATGACGGCAACGTCCTAAGGAATCGTTTGGCGAAAGTCTGCGGAGGCTGGATCTAAAGAGCCGACCTCGAAAGTTTCTGCGGAATCAGACACAAGGACACTAATATTGTTGCGGGATTGTAAATGAGCTCTTTGGCAGCTTGTTGATAAAAAGCAGCGCTTGCGATGTAATTGGCTCTAGTTAGAACGTGGCAGCCTCGATTAATGTAGGATGGTGCGTACCTAGCTTGTACGATGCCCTTCTCGTTGGAGAGCCGTGAGGTTTACCCTGGTGCTGCTGTGTGGTATCGACTCGAATAGCTACTGATGGGTGTGTGTAATGCGGTGGATACGGGTAGGAACGTGACAGGGCTACCTTTATTCCAAGCTGGGGACATCTTCGCGACCGACGGCATTTTCCGGACAAGGCTCATGGCGCTGCACTGATCAGATGATCGATGTTTGAGACAGGTGGTGTTGATGTTTCGGCCAGGTGCTGGAGCGTCATGTTGATTGTAGGAGACAGAATGCGCTTGCTTTGATGGTGTATCAAGACTCCTCTTGAATGGGCGGAAGAAGGTTGAAGCGCCCATGTTGTGCGGGCTGTAAATCTGGACTGTTGGGAACGAGGCTATCTACACATGTGCACCTCTTTCCTATTCCGGCGGTCCAGTGGGCCCGGGGTAAGGCTGAAACGGACCCCTGTTTCGGCTGGCGGCATGTGCCGGCGAGCCGCGGCCGGCAATCAAATTTTTCTTATCGCACCGCCCGCGGTCCCTAAAAACCACCTGTTGCTGTCACCATCACCACAGCCCGCCGCCGCCGAGTCCGGATCATGACCACCGGGCCGACGTCAACATGAGTACCAATGCAGCTGACCCCGTCGTGGGAGTCGCCGATTCCAATATGTCTTTTTTTCGAAAACACACCCCGTTCGGGTCCCTGTCTGGCGGCCGGCCACCGCTGAACAACATCGCGATCACGCCTTTCCTCCAGACCTTGTTCACCATTCCCACCGTCGTCTCGCCTTCGCCCCAAACAGCTGGCCTGGTTCTTGATGGCGACGACAAGACCGATCCTACTTCCCCTGTCGAGACCTCTCCCGAAACTCCTGCTTCCTCTGTCCCGAGCGACACTGGCGCCGCCGACAAACAACCGTCTCCGACAGTCGCCGTGTTCACTCCGCTCTCCGCCTTGGTTCCCGACAACGCTTGGCTCGACGAGAGCCTGAATGCCCCCGTTTCTCCCGACTCGATTCTTGCTTTGCCGAATACTTTGACTGGTGTTGGTGCGGCAGTGGTGGAATTGCCCGCTCCTGTCGAGCCCTGCGATGGTTTCCCCACTGCTACCGTGGCTGCCGTCGCTGCTGCTGCACCTGCTTCGCCTACTATGAAACTGCTTTCTGTCGACCCGACATGGATGGATGATGCTCTTGCAGCACCTGTAACACCTGCCGCTCTTCTTGCACTTCCCCAAAGGACTCTGATCTTGCAGGTTGATGCCCTCGAAGAGTCCCCCGTCGCTCCCGTCGCTCCTGTCGAGAACCAAGAAGCCGTTGCCGCTACCGAGGAAAAGGATGCTGAGTCTAACGCTCCTGTTGCTATTCCCACTCCGGTCCCCGAACAGCCCACAGTCGTTCTTGATCAACTCGCAGCCGAATCCACCCTGGCCCCAGTCGTCCTGATCGCCGACAAGACTTGGATGGACGAAGCCTTCAATTCGCCCGTTACACCTTGCGCTCTACTCGCTCTGCCCGAGAAGAACGTGTCTGCCGCCGACTCCTCAGCTCCACCGCCAACTCTGCCCGTGGAAGAGGTCCAGATCGCCGTCCCTTTTTTGAAGGCCTTCAATGCCCCGGTTACCCCTCTTGCGCTGCTGGCGTTGCCTGAGAAGAATTGTACTCTCCCCTAGTCTCTTGTGTATGTACACGCCGCTAATTACCATTGTGCACATAGAGAAACTCCCGACCTCGTCCACGTCAACCCAGGCGACACAAACAGGCCCTGAGAGAAGCTCCGGACCTCGTCCACGTCCAAGGAGGCGAGCTGGACGCGGGCAGCGCAAGGTCTTGACATCCAGCCCTGTTTCCACCTCCAACCCTCTCGCTGATTCACTCAATCTGGAAGTGGACAATGCTGTGGACGATGAATGGGAAGATGGCAGTGCTGCCTGCAGCACCCCTTGTGATCCGACATACAACAAACTGTTGTGCGACGTCGTACTCTTCGTGCCCAGGGACATGAACTGGGAACGGGAGGAGGCCAAGGAGTGTGGAAAATGGTTCTGGGAAACAAGAAGATTGGTTCGTGCAGCGAAACAGTTGACTCTGGACTGCCAAAGGTTAAAATAGAGACAGGGATGGCAAGATATGAGTGATGATGATATACTTGGCAATGAGCAAAGAAATGGGCATATGACCTTGGCGAAACAAGAAAACAGTATACGCATGAGTCTGCAATACTGTTTTAACTCGTTTAGTTTTCAGCGGTTTCGGCGTTTGGTACCTCGGTATGGGTTGGCTTGTGTAGTTTTGTGGTTATATATAGAATCTTGGCACAATCAAAGCTATCTGTCGTCTGATGTGGCTGGAGGTAATACGGCCATCTCATGGTTATAATGTGCATAGTTACTGAGACGATATACTTCTCACGCATTATCCAGGCACGGACATGATCGGTAGGTACCCTTAAGTTAGCTCCGGAGGATGGATCGCTTTTCCTTGGTCGTTGATCTAGGTGTACCATGTTCCCTCATCGATATTTTTACTGGCCTCTCATCCAATCTCTCCTTGTTTCTGGTATTTCATTCAACCGGTGTGCCCTTGGTGGCGATGGAAAAGCTGCAGAAGTAAACATTGATTCAGGTGCTCTAGGGCTGCTCAACCAATCCCCATTATGCCATGGGTTACCTTTCCCAAGATCTCGAGATAATGACAATTTGACATTCAAGACAGATAGTCGAAGCTTGGGGACAGATACATGTCGACAGGCACTCCCACAACCTGAGAAACAGGGCAGATCGTTGATGAGAGGGCATGCTGCTGGCAATAGCGCGGTCGCTCCTTCCCAACGCGTCACCACAGTGCAATGTCTCCGCGAACCTGCCGAGGTGGCCTGTGCACGCTGTGTTGACTTTCCTTCCCATAATTATGCAGTGAATAAGAGCTGGGGCTGTCACTCGATGCTCTTCCTCCTCCATGGTTCACGGATCTCGTCTTTCTTCTCTCCCGCTTCCCTTTTTTCCTCCAGCGACCTCAGTCGTCCAAGGATCCCTGACCCAGCAATCCTTCGACCGATTTTTATCTCTCACATTCTCTACCAGAAGCGATACCATCATCCCCTTCAAGTTATCCTGTCTTCATTTCCTTGGTTACCGACTGTTAGGAGTCGCATTCATCGATCGACCAGCTCTCCGAACAACCGAGACAGGTGAAGCCGGTCGCATTCAAGACCGCGTGAAGCAGCTGCCTCTTGTTGGCCAAGCCTATCTGATTGATTCTGATTGATAGTATACTTCGACTTTCCTCGCAAAAGAGAGACAGCGAAGACTGTCGCTTGCAAGAACACGCTGGGGAGCTCGCCCTTCCGCTGACATCACCTTCTAAACATTACCTTTCTGGAGGTTTCAGCCACCAAAGAAAATTCCCTGGTTTTCTCGTCAATCTGAAGTCGCGACCTCCCATCCGCGCGTCGTCATCTTCTCGAAGTTCTCAGCTCGGTATTTACTACCATCAGTACCAGTTATCGCAAAAGTGACTATCTGTAAGTGTGTCTCAATTCATTAGCTTCACGCCTACAAACTGTAAACGTCTCTGACTAACACAGATCAGCAACAAGTCAATTCAAGATGATGACCTTTTCCATGGTGGACTGCGAGCCCGCCGCCTCGTCTCTCTTCTCCTGCGCCGAGCTGTCGCGTGAGCTCGAGGGCGAGAGTGACTGGACCATCTTACTCATGCCGAAATGGGTCCGAAGCCGAGTTCGAGGAACCAGTGACAGTTTAGCCCGGCACATTCAGCACTCGGAAAACACCCGCGACCTGTCAACAGACAAAAAGCTTGAAGAAGCAGCACACCAGCTATCTTCGCCCAGATTTGATGGTGAGTACAAGCGTCAAAAGAGAGAGGCAGTTGTCAAGAAGAGAATGGCTGTCAATAACCTCTTCTCCAACACTGGACCTGTCACCACGACTCGGACATCAAGCTTCAAAGTTGCCAATGACTCCGTTCCCACGGTAGTCGATACCACTCTGACTAGCACAATTTCGACCGCTACCGGCGAGGCCATGGTTGACACCATGGTGCCTGGGTTCAAACAAGACAACATCACACGCCAGGTCAATGAGACCAGGTGCAAGTCACAGGTGCCCATCTCAAACCCTGGCAACGCCTGTAATGATGTCATTCTGCCTGTGGAGACTGTTGGGCCACAGCCAATTGATGTCAAGACTCCCAGCAACACCATTGCGACCGAGGAACAGAGCGCCATGACCCAGAGTCACTGGCAGCCCCCTTCTCAGATCAACCAAGTACGCGACAAGCTCCCGTATGATGCCCAGCTTTCCAACACCTAGGAGTTGTTGATAGGCCGGGAGGTACCCATTGAGCACATGCTTCGCAAGTTTGGCAGGGTTGTCGACGACGTCATGTACGGTATTCGCCGTAACGGAAAGGTTTTCTGGTACTACACGGATGAACCAGCATATGTTCCTCTCATAGTGCGGGAGTTCATTGATTTCGAAGCTGTGTACCCAGCCGAGTACTTTCCGTACCACAACGACTACTATCTGGCACAAATGTACGGCGACAACGCGTGCCTGGGCGGAGATTACCTCATGCCTCTCTTTCTGGACAATCGGGAATGGAATGCGGAAAAGAGTATGATTGTGTGGGCGGAATGGACGAGATATTTTTACGCCATGGCAACGAATGACGATATGCGCCAGCAGGCCAGGGAGCTGGCTCGTCATGAAGCCAGCATGGTTTGGGGGCCTGAATTTTTGAACTGCTCCTTCACTCCTCTGCGCTACCACGAGGGCCATGATGAGCAGACAACCTACGGTCACTCTCAAGCTGAAACCCAATACGAGAATGCCGTGGGCCTTGAAGCTGGAACTCAAGAGATGCTGGCCATTCTTCACGGGACCCCAGCGTCGTCCCCGTCGAAGCATAAGCAACAGAGGGCCAACGCGACAACCGAGATCGCCCAAACCGAGGCGCCCCAACGTTCTCAGCAGATACTCGAGACACCTTCACCCCCCGGAAGCTGTCTCAAAAAGAGGTCCGAGAGTGACTCTTCTGGCACTGGGAGCGCCAAGTCGGTGCGGTTTTCGGATGAAGTCCTTCTTCTCCGCCTTGTAAACCGCGGCAATCGTGGCAGTCTCAAGGATGAACAGGCTGAATACACCAAAGAGAAGCTTGTAGAGAGCGAACCGGGTCGAGTTGACTGCGAAGAGTCTGTTGAAGACTCGGATCGTGTGGAGCCTCCAAGGACTGGCCTCATGTCACCCGCAGTAGTTCACCGTTCCTGCCATCAAGAAACCAAAACTCCCAGAGACAAGGCACGGAATCAGAGGTCAGTGAAGGAGCAGCGAACAGACGGCTCAGCAGCCCTCATGGGTGGCCACGAAGTTGCCCAGAGATTCGGTGGTGCCAAAGCTGTCAGAACCATAAGTCAGAAGACGAGCAAGTTTACGCTTACAAAGAGTGACCAGAGAGTCATCGACACGCCCAACGGTCGAACAGTGAGCCAAGTAACACCATTTGAGAAAGGGCCATACTCTCCAACTAGCAGCACCGCAACTCAAAAGAGTGAGAAGGTGCCAGAGAATACAGCCACAGTGTGTGACAAGACAGAAGAGCCCCTGGCGGCCAAATCCAATGCCCCAGCAGACAGCACAAAAGGTTCTGACAAAACCAAAGCTGTGTGGTCCAAGTTGGTAGCCGCCTCTCCAGAGAGTTCACAGGCTAGTTCACGCAGCTCCGACACATCTCCAAGAGGGTGGCGGACATTCCGCAAGCCGCCCACATCCCCCGGCTTTCCAACCAGAAGCCGGACCGAAGAGATGAGCAGTCCCGTCCCAGCACCAAAGAAGCAGAGTGTAGACTTGGCTGAGAAGATTGAAGAATCCCCACCCAGCCCAGTCCCAGCAGCCAAAACCCCAACTGTGGTCTGGGTTGAAGAGGTCCAAGAACCGGCGGCCAGTCCCGTCCAAGCAACCCTGGGTCCGGTGCGCCCTCACGCGCGCCAATCTCCCTTGCCACCGCCGCCGAGGGGACAGGGTGGACGTACCCTCATCGAAACTCTCAACACCGACATGAGCTGGACGCAGCTACAGCCAAACCCGGTCCCGCGCGCGCCTGTCAACCCCCGGGCTCCGGCTCCAAGCCCAGCCACGGCGTGCGCGGGCCAACGACAAGAGAACCCGGGCGCGGGCAGGTGCGGAGGACAGGGCGGACAAGCCAGGAGAGGGGGCGGGAAGGCGGGAGATGTCCGGGGTGGCAGCAGTGAGGGCAGGCGCAGGGCCGACGGGCGGAGGGACTCGCGCGGGGGCGGTGAGACAGCCGCGGGAAGGAGTAGAGGAGACGGTCCTGGGGCGAAGAGAGAGATGTCGCGATGGAGGAAATTGAGGAATGAGAGCAGTTGGCGTTGAGAGGGTGGGTTCATGGTGCAATGTATATTGTTGGGAGGCTATGGGTGCTTGGGAGTTTGGGGAGCAGATTGTGGTTTTGCATCTTTTTGTTGTTGGCTGGATCAGGAGCGTTGGTGGAGCAGAGCGGGTAGACATGAATGGATTGTTGTATACATCATTTGTGTATTGTCTGTGTTGATACCGAGTCCTATTTCTACGTACATTACTTGTAGACCAGCATTTCTTCCAGCGCGTCCCGTGCTATAAACCTTCTCCTCTGCTAAGCCCCCCTATCATCCACGTCAGAGCCAAAGACACCTCTCGGCATTACCAAGTTTGATGTATGCTCGCCTTGCGGCATGTACAACCTCATACCTGTGGGGTAGATCTCCATGATTAGCCATATGCCGTTGCCACGTGTACGCAATGGTCACAGCAGTGTCTCACTTTCTCAGCGCAAGATGCAATCTGATCAGTAACCACCAATTTTGGTTCTACTAATCCAGGCGCACGGCGGGAAAATGATTCGGATGTCGTCGGAAAGAGTGGGTCGCCACTTGCCTGATCTGGAAAGTTTGTCGGAGTTGGTGGAGTAGACACCGGGACCGGCTCCGAAGTGGACGGCGAAATGCCGGGCCTGAACCCACTCACCTGGAATATCAATAGAGAGTTTGAAAGAATGTGAGCTAAAGGGGACCGTATGCCTGTAACTCATCGTGAAGCCTTTGATCTTGTCACATCTCCCCCAGCTGTCGCCGCCACATCCATCCTCGGGGTGCGGCGGCAGAGATCCAATGGGGAAAGCATAGATACTCGACCGAGTTGATGGTACCCTGAAAGGTCCGAACTGTTGGAGGTGTGCGATGGCAGGCTGTTTATCCGACGCATGACAGGATTCGCACTGCATTATGCGTTAAACGCGCGCGCTCATCGAAACGAGCTCGTGTCCTGTGGATGGATTCTCCAGGTCCCCAGAATTGGCCTCAGCAAGTCCTGTGTAACGGCCGCGGGTGGTTTCCGTTGCGGCCCAGCAGCAGGATGGGTCGCGTCGGTCTCAGGGACGGGACGGTCTGAGTCCTGGCATCGGATGAGCTTTGGGATACTGACGACGACGGTTATCTGCAAAGGAAAAGAGCCGCCATGCTGGTGTGTTGGCCCGGTAAGGTATTGATGCTGAAAATGAAAGTTCCTTCAAGGAGGAATCGAAATGCCCCTCCCCCCACCTGCCAAACATGCCAAGAGGTTGTGTTGCGCGCCGTTGGAAGGCTCCACTGATCGGCCGACCCCAGAGAAACAGGGGTCTTGTGGCTTGCTCAAGCTTTGCTTCCAGGGGTTTGAGTTTCATCAATCACATTGTAGCTGACAACAACCCTCAGCTCTGCGACCACAGTTGACCACAAAAAGAAAGGCTACCTCCTGGCGATGCATACTCCGTCGGCTCTGGGCCGTGTCAAAGGCCGCCTACCGTAATTTATCTCCTCTCGGTCGGCAGCCGAGAGCCCCACCGCTGAGCCGAGACCTACAATCCCCTGTCGGAGTCCAGAACGCCGTCGCCTCTTTGGACGATCAACTTGGTGCGGCCAGCAGTGAGACGACAACCCAGAGACTTCAACCGAAGTGCCCGACCAGAATCAGACGAGAATCCACTCACTAACTCCGCTCCCGGTTTGGTCGTTGGTTTTACACGCGCGCCTGTCTTGTCAGACAGTTTCCATTTGGAGCATCCAAAGAACAATGTTCCACATTCCAAACCTCTGCCGACAGGGGTTTTGTGCCACCTTCTAGACCCCTGTCTGCACCCCGCGTTAGTGATCCTGGCACATCACCACCACAACCACTAACACCCGAGGGCCTGAGACGACAACTGCATCGGGTTGGAAGGACTTTCTGATCGCCTGGCTCGACCTGTCACGACTCAGAACGCCACCGACAGGAGAGTGAACTTTGGACACCCCTGAGTTCAGCCTTATTCCAAAGCCCATCACCTCATGAGCAACCTGTATAAAGACGAGTCGTTCCCTCCGGTTCAGATGGACCATTCAACTCATCTCGCCATCCCTCGACCGCAGTCAATCCTTTTACATCTTTTTTCTTCAAGAACAGGACCCGGTGTCCCTTTGCATTCCTTTCTCTACAGCAGTCGCCAGTCGACTCTTTAATACCACTCGTCTTTCCTTGGCACCCAACTCTTGACACCGTTTTAGTCTCTTTCGCTTCAATTCATCACTCGCCACCATGGTCCAATTCACCAAGATAGTCAGCGCTCTGGCCTGTAAGTCACTTCACTTCTCAACATGTACTGTTCCTGCCCGCTCTAACACGATAAACAGTGACCATTGCTGCCGTCCACGCTGCTCCTGACCTCTCTCAGCGCCAGGCCCTCCCCGATCCCGCCGGTGAGAAGAACATCGGCAACGGAGCTGGTGGCCAGTTCATTGGAGGCCAGTGTAACGGCGCCGCCGACTGTGCCTCTGGCTGCTGTGCTACCCTCCCTAGGGGAGGTGAGACCATTGGTGTGTGCTCCGGTGTAGGTGCTCAGACTCAGGCCGGCAAGCAAGGCTGCGGTTTCGAGGGTGGCAATGCCGGCGGTAACGGCGGTGGTAACAACGGCGGCGGTAATGGTGGTGGTAACAATGGTGGCAACAACAACAACAACAACAACCAGGGCGGTGGTAATGCCGGTGCAGTTGGTGGCACCGTCATGCCCAGCACCCTCGTCCCCGACCCGGCCGGTGCTGGCAACGTCGGCAACGGTGCCGGCCGCCAGTTCATCACCGGCGAGTGCACCAGCGACGCTGACTGCGCCTCCGGCTGCTGCGCTCTGGTCAACGACGGTGTCCGTCCCGCCTTTGGCAGCTGCTCTGGTGTGGGTGCCAACACTCAGAATGGCAAGCAGGGCTGCGGCTTCCCCCAAGGCGGTGGCCAGCTCTAAGCGCCCACTTTTACCAACACTCTTTTTTCGACACTCATTTTTGATGACTCAAACTACTAGCGTTTCTCTCGTTTAGCATGGTGTTTGGGCTATGATACCTATATGGGACACTCTTTTTCGGCCTGTCTTTCACTCTTTTATGATCACGGCACTTTGGCGCACTCTCGTTCTACACAGGGAATATTTGCATGGAATCGGTTTATATACTGGGATGGTCTCGCATATCTGGGTTCGGATTGGATGAATGGGCGTGAATGTTTGGGATATGCTATAGACTAGAGAAGATTGGTGATAATAGTGCTTAATGCAAGATGATGTCGAATATCTTGCCTTCCCTTGCGTTGTCTTGACCTCATCCTGGGAGGCCAACACAACTACGGTACTTCGAAGTCCACATTCCGCAACCACACTTTCTAAGCACTGGACAGTTCTGAATGGCCTGTACCGGGAATATCGTCCAATGAAGACATGAAAATCTCGCAAGCAAGTATGGAGCACCTCGCTAACCATAGACACACATTATGAAGAGGTCATGGGTGCACCGAGGCTCTGGATAACGAACTTTGCATGCTTGATTATAAACGGTGTATTAACTTTGGCCAAAACCGCACTAGACTTCAATGACTTCTTCTCTTTGCATCCAATGCCATCCACCATTGACGTATCCAAAAGTACCTATCTTTGACAATCTTGGTCAACAAAAGCCACCGCCCTGGACCGCCTTCGTTTTCCCCCTGTTGAGCTTGGTCAACCTTACCGCACAATTCGGACCCGTTGAGAATTAAACTTGTAACAAATGCGCCAACGAACGGGGCCAGACATCTGTAAAAGGACACCACCTGGCTTGATAGACTCAGTCGTTCTTGACGTTGGGGTAAAGAGCATGGCCGGTGTAGGTGTAGTTCGCGTCTAGGTAGATGTGGGCGACCTGGTGTTGCCCGTTGGCCGTCTGGATCACGGTCTTGAGTCGGGTCGTGGCATGGTTGGCTCGGTCACTGCGGCTCGTATGCCGTCCGGTCCTGTCATCATGGCCCACAGGTGTCAGTCGTCTGTCCGTTCCAGTGATGGCTATCTTACCAACCAGATCTCCATTGTGAGAAAACCTGCAAATTCAGCATCTTGAGCTGCTGTTTGACAGGCGGCGAGGATGCCATTGGCTTGTGCTGGATTGCGGGGGGCGGTGCCCGCACGCCAAGTAACGGTTGGAGCCATGGTCGTCGCGTAAAAGGAAAGGGATATAGACCTTGTTTACTTCGTATCAAGCCAACAACTATTCGATCTCTGGAGTGTGAGGTGAGAAGTAGTGAAGAGCTAATGGTCTGATTGATGTAAGTGCCAGAAGAGCTCCATATCTATACTCTTTCAGCCTTCGGAACCGCCTCCTGGCCGCATGTTGTTGGGGTCTGACGTGTCATTGGCAGGGCCAACATTCTTTGTTCAACAGCCTAGGTCTGAAACCAGAATCAAAAGCCATCATTCTTTCCTATGGAGTTGTCTCAGACGGTTGCCAATCGTCGTGTTTCTATATGTCATGGGCGCCTATCACTAAACAAGCCAGCCTTACCTACCGACACATGCACTCAGGTTCAACCCCACTCGGGGTGGCACAGCATAGAACTTGGTGATGATACTGCATAAGTGCCCGCTAACCACATACCCATTGGGCCCCCAGAGAGACTTGGCGTCGCTAGGCGTTTCTTTAGCCAGCAGAGCTTGCATGATGGTGGCATGTTGGTGCGCCCTGTCGGCTTACGGTCTTGGAATTTTTACTCATGATACCGGTAAATGATTATCCTTCTTATTGATGCTACCACAATAACAGGGCACCAAAGGAGCCGTGTCGTCCTTCCCAACTTCCTTGGAGCACACATCAGCCTCCGTCGACGGCAGCTTATGTGGCTTGTGACTTGGACTCTTTTTGTGAAACCCAGGGATCGTTCAGGAGTTCAGAGGTCGTAGCCCTGTGATCAGGGTCAACCACCAAGAGTTTCCGAAGATAGCAACCAAGTGTTTCTAGCTCTGCCTCGCCAAATTGAAGTGTGTCCCTTTCGTATTCATCGTTGTAGGACCTCCGGATCTCTTCTTCCAGAGACAGGAAATACTCTGCTGTTGAATCTGGAAACGTGTTAGTGAGGGAGATGCAAGCAGTTGCTCGAACTTATCGACGCCAGAAAGAAGGTTTCACGGACAATTGGGAGGTTCTTTCAAAACACCGCTGGCAAGTGCATCTTGAATCCACTGTTCAGGGAGACCGCCAATGACTTTTTGAAACTGCGGGATCAAGTCCTTATCATCGAAATCCGCCTCGAAAGGCGTTCGACCGGTGATGAGCTCGTAAGTCTTGTATTGTCAGCAAAGTCAGCATCAACAGACAAAATTTTATGATCATCTTTACTCACCGTGGAACCAAGATTCCAGATATCCACCGCCCTACTCAGACCACGTTGAAAGACAAGCTCCGGGGGGTGTAGGGACATTGGTGTAGATATTTCGCTAGGGGGGTTGGAAAGGAAAAAAGCTACATTTTTTGTATCAGCTCCAGTGCATAGAGGGTAGAAAACGAGGCGACAACCCACATTCGCCAAAATCGATTAGTCTGACCTCACGCAGGTGAGGGTATATCTTCGGGTTAAACTCGGCCGGTTCCACAAGATATTCTGGCATACCCGGTTCAAGAGGTCCTCCATCTTTCCTGGCGATCTTCCCTGTCTGCGGAGGGCCTAGGTCTTTGATGATGACCTCCGGGGATGCCACTTCCAGTTCGGGGAGACGGAATAGAACATTGCCCATGTGGATGTCTGGAACAGGTTAGATTTTTGACAAGCTCGAAGACCATGAGTAATGATCACTCACCTCCGTGTGCCACGCCGGCCGAGTGTAAATAGTCAACGGCCAGAAGGAGCTGTCTAGAGATGGACCGGGCAAGATTCCCTTCCAGCCGGTAGTTTGGGCATCGATCCGTCACAGATGATGTCGTAGGTCCCAACAGGTCCTGAACGGCGCAAAGGTGCCGCCCATTGGGTCCCTGGATATGGAATGACTCGACAAGGTGGGAGACATGGTTGTGCCCAGGATGGTTGACGTCGCCTCGCTCCTTGAGAGCCTGCAGAACACTCAGCTCGCGGCTGGTTTCGTCTGATTTGTCGGCGGTGACGACCTTAACGGTTACATTCCGCTGCTCCCTGATACTTCAGTCAGCAGCCGAGGGAAGTCAAGTTTCCAATCGCTAGAGGCGACTGCGAGGCCTTTTACATACTGGTTGTCCCGTGCAAGCCATACAGTGGAGAAGGCACCAAAACCAAGCTTGTGCACAATTTCATAACGGCCATCGTGGAGTTTGTCGTGGAGGTGAATGGGATGAAACCCTCCAGAACAATATCTGTTCAGATCCTCTGCAGCCACCCCAATATTGTACTCCAGGATGTTGACCATTGCCTTTGCTGAAAGACTTAGGCGACGTTGGTATGACTGCAACGCTGCCAAGACCCGCATCTACTTGTTGTGGGGTTGTAGTTGGGAGTAGTTGGGAAGGTTTGGGCTGGCCTGTCACGATGATCCATGTGGTGCGAAGACAGGGCACCCTTCACATATGAACAAACCTGGCAGGTTGTTGGTCGGACGAATCTAAACCCGCTCCGGTCATGTATCTATCGGATCCTGTGCTATGCGTTTATCAGATCTCATGAAGTCCAACCAACCCCCTTATCATGTCAGTTCTTGGCACTGCCAGCTTATTGCACGATGCACAGCTCTCCATTAGCCCGCTATTTGACAGAGACAACTTTCTATACAAACCACCATTACCATTTACAATTGAACTATCCCTTCCATCACGGCAAACTTGCTGTCCGGGTTAGGGTTAAAGCTGTGCATCCCAGTACTGGTGTTTGCTGAAGAACTGAAACAAGAGCTGTTGTTGCTCAAGATACCTAAACTCCCCACTGGGACGTTTTTAGTCGAGTCATGGCCTAAGCCTTCAAGTTCCCATTTTCCGCCACGCCAGCCGCATGGTGTGAAATAACAAACTGACTACCTAGCGACCACTGAAGCATACCCCAAGCTTGAATTGAAAGAAGGCCACCTAGGTATATAAAAGTATCTTCAAGAATTAAGTCATAACGTGCATGATAAGCGAGCGACGCAGATAAGCGAGCGACGCACTCTCCACCACAACGCGTCTCTTCAATATCTTCTACTACAATTCACCACCAACAACCATGGACGGCCCTTCAAAAGAAGCGAGACTTCTTCTTGCCCTCGAAGCTATTCAAAATAAGGAGGATCTTAGTATCCGCACTGCAGCCAAGTTATATAACGTCCCAGAAGCAACCCTCCGCCATAGGCGTAATGGCCGACCAATGCGACGCGATATTCCGGCCAACTCACGTAATTTAACGGATCTGGAGGAGAAGACGATAGTTTAGTACGTCCTTGAGCTATCTGCACGCGCATTCCCACCTAGATTAAGTGGTGTGGAAGATATGGCCAACCAACTGCTACGCGTACGCGACGCGCCTCCTGTTGGCAAACGCTGGGCATATAACTTCGTTAAACGCCAGCCACAGCTCCGTACGCGTTTTACGCGTAAATACGACTACTAGAGGGCTAAGTGCGAGGATCCGAAGGTTATTGCCGAGTGGTTTACGCTCGTACGGAATACTAAGGCTAAGTACGGTATTGTAGATAACGATATCTATAACTTCGACGAGACTGGGTTTATGATAGGTATTATCTTCGCAGGTATGGTAGTTATAACCTCAGACGGCCTTAGCAAAGTAAAACTGGCCTAGCCTAGTAACCGCGAGTGGGCAACGGTAATCTAGGGAGTCAATGCCCTCGGCTGGGCTATCCCGCCCTTTATTATCTTAGCCGCACAGTACCACCTTGCCAACTGGTATACCGAGTATAATTTACCATTTACCTAGCGTATCGCAACTACCGATAATAGTTGGACTACTAATCCGGTAGGCCTAGATTGGATTAAGCACTTCGACCATTATATAGCGTCCCGTACGAAGGGCAAATACCGGTTGTTGATCCTCGATGGCCACGAAAGCCACCACTTAACTAAATTCGAGCGCCACTACTAACAGAATAATATTATTACGCTCTACATGCCTCTACACTCCTCCCACTTCCTTCAGCCACTCGATATTGGCTGCTTTGGGCCGCTAAAACAGGCGTACGGCCGCCAGATCGAGGGCTTAATGCGTATGTATATTAACCACATAAGTAAGCTTGAGTTTCTATGTGCCTTCCGCGAGGCCTTTTTCGCCTTTATAACGGAGAAGAATATACAGGGTAGCTTTGCGGGTGCTGGCCTTGTACCATACGATCCAGAGAGGGTACTTTCTAAGCTAGATATAAAGCTTCGTACGCCTACACCCCCATCCTCAAGGCCGGGCACGGCACTACCTTGGGTATTCCAGACACTATAAAACTCCCGAGAAGCCAACTCATAGTCAACGCTTATTAAGATTCGCATTACTAACTATCAAAATAGCTCCCCGACTTCGATGTTGGTTACTATAGACTAGCTTACTAAGGGTACGATGGCTGTGATGCACCAGGTGGCCCTCCTTTAGTCAGAGAACGCTTCGCTCCGCAAGGCCAATGAGGCATTAAGTAAGCGCCGGAGAGCTAAAAAAACACGCGTACGGCTCGGAGGATCACTTACTGTGCAAGATGCATAGGATCTACTGGACCAGAAGGCCGTGGGTGAGGAGGCAGTGGAAGAAATATAGCCGGATGGCGGTAGTGCCAGGGGGGCTCGTACGAAGGTTCAGTGCTGTAGTGTGTGCGGCAAGCCTGGCCATAATGCCCGCACTTGCCAGGAGGCTGCAGAAGGGTCTGATTCAGCTGTTTCTGACGTAATTGTAGTTGGTTCTTAATGTTGTGGTCTAGTAATTGAGGATAGTTATAGTAAGGTGGTGGAGAGTGCGTCGCTCGCTTGTCTGCGTCGCTCGCTTATCATGCACGTTAGCAAGTTCCAGTTTTCCAGACAAAGCAAACATACCACCACCATCCGGGCAAAAGAGCTAACAAACTAGTGAATAAAAAAAGCTATATTCCTCTAATTACACCAGGAACTATCAACCCTTAATTATAGCTTTGTGGACATGAAATCCGCTGTTTCCAGGGTAGGGCTTTAGTGACAAATCCTTTTGTTAAAGAAGATGTCAGAAGGGTGTGGGAAAGGCTTACTCTTGCAAACTCTTTGCACGTCAGCGAACTGCAGGGTGCGAGATTTGACTGTGTACATGGCGCTTTGGGGATCAGTTTTGAAAATACCTAGACGAGTGTTTATATTGACCGAAGTCGTTGATTAAAACAATCTACCTCTTTAGACAAAACAAATATCTCGTAAACCCTGTGATCAAGGCAAAGCTAAGAAAGAGCTAAAAGATACGGACTATTTCAGCATGTAAAACATGAGCACTGATGGAAGTTAGGTACTTAGTCCTTTATAATACCATAGAGAGCCAAATTCTCTTTACCGTCTTGTAATTAACTGCTTTGGAAAGAACCTGAAATGCAAATAAACGGGACATTTTCTTAGCAACTTAGCCCGGGATCACAAAGTCTCCATTCTGCATATACCTGTAATCTAACATCCTTGAGGATGTTCTGTTGAAACGGCTATATAAGTAACATGCGTTAGTGATTGATGTTTTCCTGGTTAGATATGAAATATCACTCGTCTGTTCGTCCTGCTTTTTGCAAGCTTAGATGAACTTAACAGCGTTTACTCACGCCACAGATATGCCTGTTCACGATCTCACAATGGCCTATGCGCGATGTGTGCCGGCATGCTCGCGATTTTTGCGGGCGTGTTCGCGGTTTGCGACGGCTTGTCCACGATTTGCAGTTCGTTTGCTCATGTTGCTGTGTGGTTCAGCAGCGTTTACAAACGAAACCAAGATGAAAGGCTCAGATGATGTTGTGTTGAGCATACTTCATCTCCAAAATTGCACAAAAGTCTATGTTATAGGTACTCTAAGTATGTTAAGCCTCTTATTACCAAGTTAACTACCATTGATTGTGATATCCCCGTCACCTTCCCAGTTGACTTTTACATTAAAAATTATAACTTGCATGCTATAGCATATTGTCTCGTACAAAGTCCTATATAAACTCATGGTTGTTAATGTTCCAATCTGTGTTGGAATGAACTGGCCGGTTATACCAATGACACATAAACAGCTCCAAAGACACGATATTAACAGTGATCTGAGAAGTAAGATGAGGCGAGGCCTGGAGATGGAACTCAGGGCATAAGGTATGCAGCCGCAGGAAGAAGAATCCGTTCAATGAAGTATGATGGATTATATGACGGCAATTTCCGGTCATAGGTTTGTGTGGTAGTATGTATAGGATAAAATGCAGACCAATGACACTGATTACTCCAAGAATTGTATGTCAATGGGGAAAACGTGGAGAGTCTCATGGGAAAAGTCATGGGAAAAGTCATGGACAAAGTCATGAGAAAAGTCATTTTCGGGGCGCCTACCCCTATACCCTCTCAGGGGTGCACCCCCAAAGGGTGTCTCACTCGTCTAGTGGTACAAATGTTACGCAATCGGCAACCCTCTTACTCTTCCTCAGGCGCATCCATCTCCAACTCCCTCTTCTTCCCAGGAGACCCCATCTCCGAGGTCCTCTTCGACGACCCGGCCTGAGCCCGGGTGCTCTCGTCATCCCTCACTCTCTTCCTCGCCGGCTTGGGAGCTCTGGGATTCTCCCGATCTCGCCTCATCTTGCTCAACGCCCTATCACGTCCGTATCTGTCAGTATATCTCTCTCTGATCGTTGCAAAATAGAATACGTACACTTTCTGCCTGATCGTGTCGGCCTCAAGCTCCACAAACTTCTCGCCGTCATCGTCACCACCAGCAGTGGGAGTCGAGTCGTCCCAGGAGGAAGACGACGACAACTCCACGGCTTCAGGGCGGCGGGAGGAACCAGCCGAACCGGTGGCTCCTCCGGCGAAGGAGGTCAAGAACCGAATCTCCTCTCTTCTCTCGGGACTGAGGGTATCACCAGCCTGTTGCTGGTTGGCCAGCGGGTATGTCGGCGCAGGGGGTGCGGCGGGAGGGGAGAGGGAAGCGTGGTCCAAAGATCTAACAAGAGTAAGTAAGAGATACATAAACAACAAGTGGCCGTGATATGCTGACTTCTGACTGGGGCTGGCGGAAAAGACACTCCCGGGCTTTTGGGAGGCGGTGGAGGAGGAGACGCAATTCGACGACTTGTTCTTGGTGCGGCCATTATCTGGCGCCGGGGTTTTCTCTGACGAGGCCATTTGTGGTTGGTATTGCTTTGAAGAATTAAGGAAGGAGTCGAGAGAATTGGATTGTTTGATGAACAATGAGGTCGAAGACGAAGATCACCAAATCTTCGTCTGAGGGAAGCGTGGTTGAGGAGAAGAGAAGACGAGGGACAGGGGGAGGAATGGGAAATCTTGTAGGCAACGCTCAAGGCTTAACCCCCGGTCATCAGCTACCCTGTCCGGGAAAGGGCCGGAACGTTGCGTGGAACCCCCGGGGCCTCTCAGCGCCGAGAAGCCTTTAGGCCGGGAGTGTGGCCGGCGAATAGGCACCTACCTAGCCTTCCACGACATGGCAGGGTGTATCAGACATCACAGAAAAGGGCTTCTCCCTTTTCCATCATCTTGGGCTCTCGGCCTCCATGAAGCCAAAGTCTCTGGGTAACAAAACCCACAGGACCCGACAGGCTGGATCGTGGGAACAAGCCGATGAGGCACAGCATGACCCAAACAGTTGGGTTCAAGTTGCCATGATGCGGACCACATCCTGCGGTTCGCACACCGCCAAAAGAGTGCCTAGAAAGGCATCTTCACCCCCAATTACCCCCCTTTCGCGCCGCATTTTGCCTATCCTTGAGCAGGAGGGTGGTAAAAAATGGCCCAAGAACGCCATCAGCATGCCACCAATGCACGACACACCCTGTTGAATATGTGCTGTCCAATCGCTTGGGTGTATCCAGACGGCACGGTTGGCACTAGGTGGTTAGCGGCTGCGGGAGCGTGCGCCGGTACCACTCTGTTGGGTCAACCCGAGAGGATGGTTCGCTGCCTCCCTTGAAGGGACCTTGATTTCAGTGTTGCCAATGGGAGAAAGACAGTGATGAACATGCTCCAAGGCATTGGCACAAAAAGGGAGCAGGCGGGGAAGAGCTTAGATGTGATGAATGTAACAAGCTAAAAGGACAAAAACGCAAACCACAAAGAGAAGAGGAAGCCAACGCTATCAACAAAGCATCAAACACAGCAATCATGATCCGCCCCCGCCTCCGCACCCCCCTCCCCCTCCCCGGCAACCACCCCCCCCACCACCACCACCACCATCACCACCACCTCCACCGCAACCGCCCCCTCCACAACCAACTCCCCCACATGCGCCACTACCGCCTCCCACCCCCCCATCACACCCCCCATTTCCTCCACAGTTCCCCGTAAACCCACCATCACCAACACCAGGAGCAGCACATCCCCCCCAATCCCCTCCGCCACCACCGCAACCCCCAGCCATCATGGCACCCGGAGCCCAAGCAAAATACATACCGGCTGTCCACCACATCGGATGTCCATACGGGCCAGTCTGCGTGACAGGGTGACCCCAATGATCGTACACATACGCTTCCCTAGGCGGTATCTTTCTCCCCTTCTTCTCCGCTCTCGCCTTTGCCTTGGCATAAGCGGCATCCAATCGCTTTTGGTGCACAGCCACCAACCGTTTACGGACTGTCTGTCTATAGTCCTCAGTCGGCATGACAGCATTATGAGCAGAAATGTGCGCCGACTTGTCCGGTGGACAAAGCGCCGCCCGGCCAGATGAGTGGAAGTTGTCTGCCATTCTCTCCTGTTTTGACACCCCCAGGGCGCGTGACAAGCCAGAAACGTGGGAAGATCGAATGGCTTTGATGTTCATGTCAGTCAGCTTTCATCTCAGATGCAACACAGCACGGGAAACAAACCTTCGCAATACCAGCAAGTACACTCACTGTACACCTCCCCATACTTCTCCTGATACTTTTGACTCGTCCACTCAAACTGCGCGCTCAAAACTCCCTCCTCAATCTTGTCATCGTGATCGACAAATTTCCCCGTCAGCGACACCGTGTGTTGGTAGTACATGCCCGGACTCAACTGATGAGTATGCCACGCCAAATCCACATCCAGCGTTGGCACCACCACATTGTCAGGGTTCTCCGCCATGATGGCAAGGAACCGGTTGTATTTCACAATCAACCTCTCCATCGTCTGACGGGCGGACGGACTGTGCAACCAGTCAAGCTTGACCATCTTTTCCACAAAAATACCCTGCCTCATCACCGCTCCAGAGAGATCAAGCCCGAAAGGCGAGAAATTCTGCCAGTATGTGTTCATCATCTTGCGGATTGCCGTCCGAGAGCCCGGTCTCAGGGCGTGTTTTGATGCCGAGCCCGCCTTGAAGCCACTGATCTCTTTGACGTTTGACGGCCTGGACAGCACATATTCAATCTTCCTGCGCACGTCCTCCATCGTTGGGTCCGGGATGAGTGGCTTGTGGAGGAGTGTCATGATATCGGTGCGGATGGAGTCGCAGCCGGACTTGAGCATGGCGTTAGGGAACGTTCGTGGGACGCGGAGTTTGAGCGCGACAGATGTCTGATCCGGAAGCTCGGGGATCCCAGAGCGGGTGTCGAGGATAGTGCCATGCATGGGCTTGTTGGAGTGTCCCATGAGTGTCGTGACGTCCTTGACGAATCTCGCTACGGATAATAATTCCTTTCTGATGGTAATGCCACATTGAGGACAGTCGGAGTTGAGGTTTCCATCGCCATAGCCTTCGCCAATGAGATCAATCTCAGTGTTTGCGTTCGGGCGGTGGTTCTCAGGTCGGCCACAAGCTGTCCAGAGAACCTCAAGAGAAGTGTTGCATCGAGGGCAAAGCAGTGTCTTCCTGGGGGAGTCATCGGCGACATCCCACGCGTGCCCCGTCTGCTTGGTCCAGTTGGCTTTGCATTGATCCGACACGCGGTATGAAAAGGTCTCGGGATCAATGACTCGGTCGACGAGTGCCCATGGCATGCCATTGGACCAGAATGATCGCAGACCAACGAGCATGGCGTCCTCGAGAAAAGCACGAGGGTTGAGCATGTGGGTATGCCATACCATCAGTACATCTGCCGCCACTGTTAGCCCCGTTCCTGTCCCCTTTGGACCGTCATCAACTCACCCAAAGGCGGCAAAATGTTTTCCGTCCACCCAAACTTGAGATTTGGGTCGGTGGGGAAGTTGGAATATGCATTCTGATCCCTTTCAGGCTCGCTCATATCACGCTCGCTCAGGATTCTTTGACCAGGAATCCCTTTCCACCAAGCCTCATATCGGTCCGATGCCCTAGCCACAAAAAGCGCCCACCGCTTCTCTCTGATCCTGCTCAAGGTTGCCAAAGTCTTATCATGTTCGGCACCAGCTAACCGTCGCTTTTCTTCGTCGACAATGATGGGTCCTGCAAGGGAGTCCCACAGGCCAAACAGCCCATCGGTGTATCCCACATCTTCTTTCAGGGTCTGAATGGCAAGCAAGAGCTTCAGATGGGCGAGGCAGGTGTCGGCGGTAGGCTGTGAGCCAGCATCGGATATATTGAGTGACTCAAAGGCAGCTGTGAGGTCAGCTTCTTCCTCTGTAGCCGGCGTCTGTCCCTGTTGCAGTTGAGGCTGCGGTGAGGTGGATGATGTTGAAAGGCCATCGTATGCTGGCGGCGGGGCATCATCGCCGTTTGGTCTTCCCCGCAGCCCAAGACGCCCAAAAATAGACGATCTTTTGGACATCACGGGATGATGGGCGGGTGGCGTACACTTGGAAAAGCTTGGGTAGCTTGGCGTTCAGCAGTGTGTTCTCGATGCGGGGAACTGTGGATTCTTGCTGAAACTCTGTGGATGCCGATGTTGACTTGGTGTAAGCAGAAAAGGGTGTTGCTGTAAATATCAGGTAGAGAACTTCTGGTCTAACACAATAACCATCTTGACAAAGGAACCGCAGCGGGGGAAGTCGGCTTTAAGGTTTGAAGCTGAGCGTTGCTGAAAGCTGCTGCGCCTCGCCATCTGGCTAACCCCGCGCCTACCAGCAACCCCAACCTCGGTGGGTTGCCCTTTTTGGACAGCTCTTGGCCAAGATGGACATCGCCTCTCGGTCAGCATTTGAGAACCGCCATTCGCGCATCACCACGTCCAGATTACAGGTATCTCCTACACTGGTGATCATGGGCGCCGGAATGAGAAGAGGATTGGGGGGCTGAGTCAACTGGATGAAGCGAACTGATGACGCGGTCCGGCTACCCCTCGGTGTGCAAAGTGGTCAGGCTGCTGGGTAAGGCGTCTTGCTATCAATGGTCTTGCAGCAACACATGGTTTTCGGTCGAGAAAACGGTGTGGTACCACGGCCAACAATGTTTCATTAGCTGACGTGTCCAAGATTGTGGCTGCAGCTGGGATGGTGTTGACATGGAACTTTGAAGCCCATGATCGATGAACATGAGAATAGGTGGTCTGGACAAAGATGACTCGCAATCGTGGTGTTGTGGAAAGGCATAATAGGACATTAAAAGGCAAACATATTGCATAATACTGGCTATCTGACATCGCTGCAGAGTGTAAAAGAAAACAAAAGTGGCTCAGCCGAATGATATCACCAAAACCAGACAGATAACTACCAGTGAGAAGCTTGACGATGCATACTTCCACTAGTGACGGTCCATATATCCTGGCCTGCGATTTTCACGGTCGTCGATGTCGTCACTGCAACACCCTCAGAGAATCCCAATCCACCGTTCATAACAACTACCCGATGCCCATTCACAAACGCTATCCCAACTTCCCGACTGCCAGTTGAACTCCCATTTGCCATTCGCCCCCAGGCCTGTGTATGCCCCAGCACGATTGTTGTGGCACGAACTTCCCCAGCTGCGGTCCTCCACTCACTCAGAGCAAAGCAATGCCTTCGTGCATGAGTCATGGGTGTGCTTGCATGAATTGTTGATGACGAGGGCGATGCACTCGCTGTGCCAGAGCCGAGAGCCTGAGTTCTGGACGTGCCTTGGTAGTTTCTATTGGCAAAGCCCCTGGCTTGTGATCCACGACCGGTCGACAAGTGCGTGTTTATCATCATTGATTGCAGGCTGACACTGCACACCCACAGGTTGGTGTCCAGAAACAGCAAAGTCGACGCACCAACAAGACCCAGAACTGAGTGGACATTGTGTCTGACCGTGTACAAATTCGTTTCGTCTGCTGGTCTGATAGTATCCTCGGTGGAAAATGGGTCGAGCGAGGAGGCGGACCACAAGTGAAGCTGCGGCCGGGTGGTCGAATAGGGCTCAATAAATTCCACAACACAGTCTTTTGCCACGTGGTAAGATGCCTTGATTCTGACATGGCGACTCTGCAAGGGAGCATCCACTCCGGTTTTGGGTGCGGGGGCTTCGTATGGTCTCTCAATTCTTTTAACATGAACAGGCGTGAGTTCTGAAAAGTTTGACCAGGAGTAAATACGAACAACGTCGCCATATAGGAGCACGAACCAGGCAGTATTCGGGTGTGGGAAGACGGCGCGGTGTGTTAAATCTTGTGCATCAGACACTTTCCCGCTCAGCCCAGGAGAGATTGGGCCGTCAGTGGCGGCGATGTCACCAACTGCAAGTCCCACAGTGGCCTCGACAGTTTGACGACCAGGAAAATAGACCAACCCAGTCGTTAACTCCGCAGTTGAGCAGAAGTACGACCGGCAACTAGTAACGTATCGGCGGCGGAGCTGAAAAACATTTGCGTAACAGCTTCTTGATAGCGTCGGTCTAGAAGAATATTGCCCTGCTGAAGCTGTGTGTGAGCCGAAGACAGAGTCAGTGGCGCTTCAAACCTGACAACTAGAATACGCGCCGAATCGTCGACAGACGCAATCATCTGTTGGGATGCGCTCAGTACAATTTCGCCAATCGCTGACCCAATTCCATGTCTGTAGAGGACACCGATTTCTCTCGCCCCTGCTGTTGATAATGCCACTACACTCCCATCTCTTTTGACAACAATGATGAGGCTCCCGTCAGAGGATGCCACGATTGAACTCGTTATTTCTGGATGGTCAGGAGGGTGAAGCAACATCGTCCTGGATGCTTGTGAGCCAAACGTTTGGGCAGCCTCTGCGTCCAAGCTCCCAGTCGAGCTCATCAAGTCATTCATACTCTTTCTGACCAAAGAAGCCGGAGCCCACACGCGGCCTTTCTTGCCACGAATGTCAACAAAGCGTACCCCATCTGAACTGAAGCAGAGACCACGGACAGCCTGGTCTAATGGGTGATTTGTGCGGTAGATGGGTACTAGAGTTGTGATAGCGCCATGGTGATCACGCTCGAATTCGAAAATTTCGACAGCACCCTGATTGGTCCCCGCCCCGAGGCTTCTTCCATCTGGAGAGCAGGCGAGACTTTGGGCATGGACCTGAGGCCGGCGGAGATGCAGTTCTTGCGTTAGGTAGTCAAAGACACAGAGACTACCGCCCTCAAAGGCTGCCACTAGGGTACGAAATTCCGGGTCAGGGTTGAAGATGAGGTCATTGACTCCCTTGCTGTCGAATTTGGTGGCGCAAATACCAACCAGACGGAACTCGAAGATGCTTAGGATGAGAACTGGATGTGAACGATAGCCGACAGCGACAAATACCTCGTCAGGGGTAACGAGAAATGGTGCTTGAGATGGGGCTTGTGTCGGAATGATCGTGTGCGGAAAGGAGTTTGGTATGTAGTCACTACGGTTGTCCGGATGATTCCAGCAAATCGTGTCAAACTCCTGTGTTTGTAGCTTCCTGCGATAGGGTAGGTCAGCGGTAAGCACACATTGGAGAGATAGGACGCTCGGTCACACACCATTTTGTGAGGACACTAGATTGGTGTGCCAATACGATCTCTTCGACACCGAGAAATATCATGGCCAGCGGTGGTGACATCATCGAAATTGCATGTCTCATGGATCCCGACTTGGGATCCCAAATCACAAGCTGTTTCGCGCCGCAAGAAGCCAAAAGGGCGTCATCAAGGCTGAATGCCAATTTCCGGGCACGTTCAGGATGGCTCAAATAGCGAAGGCAGTGAAGAGACTCCGGATCGTATAGCAATAACTGACCAGTTGCCAGACCAACGGCGAAATAACGCTCACCATGAGCCACTGTTGTCGCAGGACCACTGCGGAAGTCTATTTGAGTAAGACAATCGTCCCATGTCCCAGGTAGTACTCCTTGTACGGTAAGTCCTCTAGGAGCTCGCTGGTGGCCTGATTTTTTGGAGATCAATGAATGAGCCAAAGGGGCACATAGGTGGAACCAGCAAGTATATTGACGAGGGACATGTCAATAGCTGAGGGCGAAACTTGGCGGCCACACGGATGAGGTCAATCACCCAACATCCACAAGTTGAATAGTAGGGTTGGCAGACAGTCCGTCTCTCGTTCTTCTACCAATATATTCCCGTAAATTTGTGGCTGTCTGAGCGATCACGGCCAGATTTCCGGCTGCTGAGACATGTTCGATCCATTCTAGGACAGTGTTGCTCCGTAGAAACTCGCAGAGAGCGTCCGTGAGGTAGTCGTCAGATGATGCGAACAGGAAAACATGATTGGAGAAGAAGCGGCATGCGTAGTTAACCATAGAGGGGTCCAATGGCTGTGGTGTCGCTGCAAACTTTCCGAGTCCCACCGAACCCCCAATCGCTGACTGCTTCTCCGTAACTCTGGACTTGAGCACACTAGTGGAGATATATTCGAGAAGCAATGTACCAAGCAGGATATGCCCTTGTTCTTTGTTGATAAGCAATTGTTCGTCGACATTTGGTGTCAGTAGGAACTCGTACGGTTTCGTATGTCATCTGCACAGTGCTATTAATGTCAATGAATACGAGCTGTGCGCAGAGATCCGGTATGGCTTTCATGCATTCTGCAGAGTTTGCCCTACATCCAGCTTGACAGCACATCGTAGCTCCTGCAAAGTGAGTGGGCGGGATGAGAGTGTAACCCAAGTCAAGATGGACTTTGCAAGGGTAGCTTTTCGTTTCTTGAAAGTAATGGATTCCGTCATTCGACGATAGAAGGCGAACAGGTCGGCAGGTACCTCTTCCAACACAACCTCCATGGTCTCATCCCACCAGACATCCTCAAACTCTTGTACGACCAGTCGTGTCCAAAAAAAAAGAGCCCCGGGATTTGGCAAGTATCTTCTCACACATGCGCTCGCGGTCTTGGGGGTTGTCTGGCCTACCCAGCTCTTTTAGTCGCGTGTCCAGAAAAAGGTGCATGTCCTCGACAGTGTCCGTATCCGATAGCTTCTCTATTGTTGCCTTCTTCCGTCCTAGAGAGAGCAAGCCACGCTCAATGTCTTCCAAAAGTCGACTGGTAGCAAAAAGGTGAAGATCGTGGGGTATAGTGGCAAGAAACTTGTTGGAAAATAAAGAACCAAAACATGAAAATTCGTCCACACCATCGATCACCCAAAAGTGGCTTGCCATCGACGGTATTTTGAACAGGGTAGCCGTAAAGATGCGGCGCCAAACCACAGCTTCATCGGTCTTGTCCCAAGGCATATCGTCCTGGGCGAGCTTGAGCAAAGCGTCCCGAACAAGGTTGTCCTGGAGCGCCATCTGATAGGCTAAGGATAGGAAACATTCACCCAAGGTAGAGTTGCCAGTCTTTGCGTGTCGAGAAATGAAATAACTGCAGAATGCATTGGGAGATTTGAGCTGTTCAATGATATGACAGGCAAGAATCGCCTTCCCTACGCCCGGTCTTCCCGTGAGCCAAAGAATCCCTGGGGCAGTGCGCGCCTTCCAGGCTGTGTAGGGTGCCGACTGGTGAACCATTGGCATGACCCCGGCTGCTTGAGGACTTGCAGAGTTGCCAAGTCGGTCTCGAAGGAGTCTCTAGTTCCTAGAAAAGAGCGAAGGAGTGCAGCTGCTGTGGCATCGGACAGAGATGGAGCACTACTCAGCTGCAGGATAGGTCCAGACAGGGAGGATGGCTGCGGTGGCGGAGTCTCGGGCCGAGATGACCGTATTGCATCGACAGCTGTGAGAAGAGCATTTCGCAGCATCTTGTATTTTGGGTCCGAGGGGCTGTCGAACTTGCAGACATGGCGGTGGTCAGCGTCCATTGCCGCAATTCTCCTCGTTGTGGAAACCAAGGGTTGCTGAGTGCCGCTCCACAACGATCTGATTCATGGCGCTCTTGACAGGAAGGGTTTCGTAAAAAGACCAAAGACGAAGATCGGGGGCAATGATAAACCCCAGGTTTTTAAACTTTCGGATAATAATAACTTTTCTGGGCTCGAAACGGGTTTATATTAAGCTACTTACTTACGCTAATAAAAAATAACATTTCCTATTAATTAAAAACTATTTAATTATTAATGTAAGTATTATTATAGTATTACAAAGTCGCTTAAATGAACATTTTATTTATATTTTATTAAAAAACAATTTTAAAAAGCTTAGTATTTATATATTTCTATACTTATGTATTGTTTACTGTTAAAATACAGCTTTTGCTCGTGGACTTTACAGTGTATCTGAGCCCTGTGAAGTACAGGGCCTCAGAGGCAATACAATGACTTGAAATCAACAGTGTCCACTGAGGTCTGAGAACCGGAGTGGAACTCGGCTCCTTTTAAGCAATCCAAAGTGCCGGGAGGCCGGGCACCAAGGCTAGCGCTCTGCAACGGTGAAACGGTAGTGCAACGTGGCCTGAAACCTTATCTTAAACCACGCACTTAGCGGACGTTCGGACTCGAGGTCGGAGAGAGTTGCGGTGCGCGATTGTGACGAACCCCTGTACAGAACCTCTGAAAGGGATACTAGTTGAAGGTAACTTCTGACAATTTGTGACGAACCCCTGTACAGAACCTCTGAAAGGGATACGTGTCACAACCCTGGTACAGGACGGTTGTGGGGCCACGGGAATAAGGGGCCAATCGGGAGAACGTATAGGGGAGCCAATCACAGTGAAGGCAGAGTGATCAGTGTGATCAGGGCACTGAGCAGACTGAGCAGAGTGATCAGTGTGATCAGGGCACTGAGCAGACTGAGCAGAGGTGATCAGTGTGATCAGGGCACTGAGCAGACTGAGCCGAGGTGATCAGTGGCCTTGGGAGACTGATCACGGCTTGGCACAAGGACTATATATACGGAGGAACTGGCTAGTGTAAATAGACAGTTCCGCAGTATGCAATTCAAGCTTGTATTCACGGCATCTTGTGTTTACATCGAGACATCTTGTTGTGCACTGTTTAGCTGCACCGAACCAATTGTCAGAAGTGGCCTTCAACCAGTATCCCTTTCAGAGGTTCTGTACAGGGGTTCGTCACAATACGGGTTGAAGGTAACTTCTGACAATTGGTTCGGTGCAGCTAAACAGTGCACAACAAGATGTCTC